GTCAAATGGTACCAACAATATTTTGACAGACGGGAGCTTATCATACTCGTGCATGAAACTTGTACCCATGGGCATAAACATAAAAACATCTCGTTGGACAGAACAAGAGAGAGTGAGAAAAACAGCAGGAAGAAAGGATAGAAAATATACTTCGCAAAGTATGTTGCACTGGCCAGCTGACAAGAACTGAGTGCGCCGCCATAAGTTCAAAAAAAGGTATTAACAGAGTGTGTCGAAAAGGGGAAAAAAAAGTCCAAGGATCGAGTCGTGCCAGTAGGATATATTTGACACCTGGCCATAACACTGAGAAAGACAATATAGACCTAAAAAAAATCTGCTCTATGTCAATTAAAGGGATGAGCACCAGAAGATGTAAGTGTGGAATACTGACTGAAATTTGTGGAAACTCGTGCATCTACTGCTCTCAGGAAAAGATTTCCGTGACCGTGCGCCTTCGCTCCCTTCTTTGTGATGGTAGGGTGATCGTCTGTGCTTGTGACCCACTCCCATCTTCACGATCAGCTTCAAAAGTGCTGTCCAGTGACATCCGCGCTGATCGTACACCGATCGTTCGACGTCTAGTATCCCGCTCGGTCTCAGAGCCAGAAAGAGGTGAACGAATTTGATTGGAGGAGGCGGCCGGGGCAGACGAGGGGATAGGATCTTCTTCTGCAGCGGATGATGTCGACGAACTAGCGCGTTTCCGAGCTTCGTCACGTCGATTATGCTGCTGCTGCAACCCGCTAAGGGCAGAGAGTGACACCTCAGAAGGACGCGAGAACGTCACCGAGCTTCTAATGGAGCCATGGGACTCATTTCTAAGAAGTGGGGGATGTGATTCCTCAGGGGAGTTTGATACTGTATGCGCCGTAATGGCGGTCGTGGGGTTTGTACTTGTCAAAGGAAAGAATGCAGAATTTGTGCCGCGGACAGTGGAAATGGAGGCGGTGGAAACTTTACGGCGATTATTTCTGTCAGCAACTGTACTGCCGACATGACGAAGGAGAGATTCAGAAGGAAGGCTAGGGAGAGGGGGAGGGATAGCTAACGGAGGGGGTACTCGGTGTCGCCCAGGGAGGGAAGTACCAGGGTGGCGGGAGGCAGGCGTTGGCGACGGCTCGTAGCCATTAGTTGGGTCTTGCAAATCCGACGGAGTGTTATGGGAGGAAATGGTGTTACCATTCATCTGCTGTTCTCTTTGTTCTCGAGGCGTGAAAAGTCGCCGTGTGGCGGACAAAGGAATGTTTCGGACAGGAGCACGATCCAGGTCGTCGTTTAGATTAATCTCTCTTTCTCTGTCTCGAGAGGAAGAGGGCGGGCGAGCAGCGGTGATGCCCTCGGCGCGGCCTGATAACCTTCGGGACACCTCAGCACTTGTGATATTCGTCAGAGGCTCCCAGCTTCTCCTCGATTCAGCGCTCCTTCTACCATCTTGACTCTTCCTGCTGCTTGTTACTGTTACTTCTGGACTTAACCGCCTGGTCGAGTCTTCGCCAAGACTAGCACTCCGCAGGTGTTGCTGCCCATCGTCTCCGCCAGCGGATGCAGCCTCCCTCAGCACTTTACCAACTCCAAGCAAGAGCCCCGTAACCGTCCGCACAATCTCATCACTCACCCGCAAGCCCTCCCTGTACTCTCCCCCAACTCTCCTCCACATCTCAACCAGATCTACACCTTGATTCCGCCCATCTTCCACCTCGTCGCCTACCTCTGCATCAATCTGCTCTTCCAGCGCCCTATTGGTCCCCGACCTCAAAAGATTATTCAGCTTGTCCGAAGCGTGGACGATGGTCTCAGCATGTCTGTATAGTTCTGGTACTGTCACCGTTGTCGTCGTACCCATAGCAGGTAAGCGGTTTAGTTGGGATTCGAACATGGACAAAGACTCCAGCATTAAGCGAGTGTGCTCCGAGTTGTTCTGTGCACCTCCAATACTAGAAGTTGAACCATTCCCAAGTGGCGTCATCGAGGTATGACGCTTACTCAGTGAAAGAGTATTATACGTCCTGTCTTGGCCAGCAGATGATGTAAGCGATGGATGGTTCGAAGCCTGTTGTTGGGATAATGATCTCGTGTCCATCATGGAACCTCCTGTCATTGGTCTGTCCCGGTCTAGTACCGTATATGTCGACCTCTTGGAACGTAAACCACCCCTTACCGCACTCCCATCCTCTCCATGATATAGCTCTGCCATCGAAGTTGCAGGCCTTGATGTAGTCCTTGAAGCGCCTGCCCAATTGTCTCTTTCGGCCGGACTTGCATGTGCCCTCGGATCCGACATGCGTGTGGTTGGCACTCTAGATGACAGGGGTGGACCTACACCCTCAGCCGCTCTTGAGCTCGACCCCCCACTCGTTCGACTTCGTTCATCCTCTCCCCCATCATCCCATCCCACCCTTCCTGGTATCGAGGATCTTGCTGCACTTGATTTTGCACGCCTTAGCAACGTTGCGGAGTTATCGGCCACATTGCCGCTTGCGTTTCCAAAGATATCATCACCTGGCTGATTTTTCATCTTGATTCCTGCCGCCCGTAAACCTTCAGCCACCAAACTACGCCCGCCATTCAAAGCTCCTAACGAGCTATCCGTGCTCCCACCTCTCTGCACTTGCCGCCTCCCATAGCCGTTTGGTGGATTGTGATCAGGATCATCATCAGCCTGTGCAGAGAGATCTTCAGACAACCAGCGTGTCTGATGTCGTCTTGTTAGTTCACGCACAGTTGACGATCGATTATTACGTGGACCACGAGGCGAACGTTGCAAAATGGTGCTGGTTGAAGTGGTACTATTACCATTGGAACCCGCGAATCGAGGTGACGTGTGGACGTTACTAGAAGTCACATATTCCCCACTATCTCGATGAGATCGATGTGGTGTGCTTGGTTCAACTGATGCCTAAGGATTGTTAATAATTTTTAGCACACGATACGAAAAGAGAACAGGAAAGCGTACTCTACCATCCAAACTTCTCCTATCACCATGCCTAAATTCTCTAGGTAGAGGCTGCCTTGATCTCTTACCGCTACTCCCTGATGGACTTCGTCTTGACGACGCCACAGCGGCCAGCGCTGCACCCGTCACATCCCTTGGCAACTCGCCGTTCTCATCCGGCGCAGACATTGTCGTCGTCACCCTCTTGCGCGGTGTGCGTGAAGGACCAGGGGATGGCTGTCTATACAATGGCGAGCGTGACCTGTGTGATGCCAATGCTTTACCAGGAGAGGCTGGTGCAGATATACGTCGCTGTCGCATACTACTTGGTGCCCGGGACATAGATATAGAGGAAGGCGGTGTGGCATCAGAAGACGAATACGAGAGAGATTCAGAGTTGGATGCCCGCTGACTTTCACGCTCTGTTTCAGAGCCTGAAAGAACATTATCGTTATGGCGAGGCTGTTGTGGTGCAGATTGAGAATGCGAATGAGATGATATGCGTGAGGATGAGTGAGAAGAGATACGAGATGAGGAAGCTGCAGAAGAGGACGAAGAGGAAGAGGCTGCGGTAACTGGAGGAATCGGAGAGCGAGAAGCGCGGGAGGCATGAGACGGTGATGGGGTGTTTAAACGAGAAAAAGAAGAGAGTTTGTCTATAGCCTGTATTTACATGGATCGTGATCATATAATCGAGCACGATATTTTGAAGATCGATGAGTGAAAGGCGCATATATGCATCGAAATCGAATAATAAGGCGTCGCCATACATCCCATTATTGGTGAAAGGGTGATTTTATCATGATACAAAGAGAAAATCAAAAGATTGAGTAACACGTGTTTGGTGGTAAAGGGTAGAAAGATGTATTTTTTTAGTGAATACAGACGCTGGAAGCAAGGGAGAAGCTCACCATACGATTGCGTTGAGTCAGACTCTTGACTCGCTGCAAAGCCATAACATTTTCGTTTGATGTCTTAAGAGAACGCCTCAGATCAAGTCGAGCAGTGTCATCTTCTCCATTCCCGATATCCTCGTCATCATCCTCTTCTTCGAGCGGAATTCTAGAATTCGTAGAGCTGATAAACTTGTCATAATTCCCTGATGGCATATTCATGTTAGAAAGAGAGACCGGCCGCTGGCGGAGGCTACCGGCTTTATTGCTGTTATTGTCGCCAGTAGATCCGCTACCAGTAGAATTTGTAGCAGGTGGTGAAGGAAGACCAGAGCCAGTTGCTGAGAGTGCACTCGGACTTTCTGGTGGTTCTGGAAGATCTGGGAGATTGTCTGAGGATGGGAGGGAACCTAGAAAGATGGCGGACAAAGGGCGCTTTGACGAAGTAGCGAAAGGCCTTAGACGAGGAGTCATTGGAAGGCCAAACGACCCGCAGAGCAGGTCATCAAATATAAGGAGCGCCCTATCTTGAAGGGGTCTTTGTCGGCGAGAACGGCGAGCAGAAGTTAGAAGAGGGCGAGCAGATCGTCGACGACAGCGAGCAAAGAAGGTCCGAGTCCTGAAACTGGTGGTGAGGAAACAAGTGCACCGTGGGTAAAAATACCGTAAACAAGGAGTCGAGAGCAACGGCGCGGTACTGTTATAGTTTTAGGCACTGCTGGAACACGCGCCCTGTTCTGCATGGTATCGTGCAGTCATTGGTGAGCTGATGCATATCCATTAACATTCATTCCGCTGGAAATCCTCGACAAGCCTATCAAGGCGATTTCATTTCATCTATAGAACGAGGTCAAACATCGTGCCAGCGTGCCACTTGCAAAGCCACGGACGCCTAATTGCGAAACACCCGGGCCATGCGGCCGTTCCTTAACCTGCAGTGAAGGCGTCTTTAAGCTGTTTTTTGCTGACATTCTTCAAGAAACCTTGCTCAAAAGTCGTGGTGTTTGTTCCACAACCCTTGCAGTGAATGCAGGTACGTTTCAAGTCACTGCATACATTTCGAATCCAACGTTTTGTAGATTTGGAACTTCCAAAGCACATCCAACACGCTGATTCTTCCACATGGCGTTTACGTCGAGAGCAAATGCTTGCACAGTCCTTGATAAAAATGTTCTTTTAACTCGGCTATCGTTGGAGTTACTCGTGACCACATGCGTGGCTTGTGTGCGGTGTAAGTGTTTTTAAACGACTCTGGAACGTTACACGGCCTCACATCATGTAGCCCCTTAAGCTAACAGTTCATTGTAAGTGAAATGTCATATTTTAAAGCTTACCGTGATTCCAGCCACGGGTGAATCGATGTGATCCTTCGAAGCTTAGGCTCGTATAGAGTTTTTGTGTCTTGCTTTCAAGTTACATGGTAGCCGATCTTTGGTGGCACAGCTCTCTTCAATAAACCAGCATATCATACATGTGGTTCTGCTCGTTACCCCGGGATTGCAAGATAATCATCATATCTGACAGCAACGAGTCGCGTTTTCTTACAGGCCGGAACTTGATGCAGGATCGATCGAGGTCAATGAAGATGTTTGGCCCGGAAACGACGCCGCATGGAAATGTAAAGTGTTCGCTGAGGCTGAAGCACACAAGCCTGTACTCGACTAGACTCGAAGTACCTATATCCAGGAGAATGGAGCCAAAAAATCCGGCCCTCAGCTATGCATCCAAAATCCACTCTACCAAATATTATAAAGGGCGCTGAGTAGTTGAGGCAGACTATCTTCCCCACCAAACTGATTTGCCGTACTACTAGAATCGATATCTATAATGTGCCTCGGCACATGCACAGACGGTGCAACACTTTGAACGATCGGAGACGAATCGCGTCTAGGGCACACGCGATTTGTCACTTGATACGACGAGAGCGCATGGAATGAGTAACACCTAGCCTCATATGAGCGGTCCGGATGGGTCACAGCTAGGTATATCGTCTATCGGGTGAAATTCAGTTACAGCATATCTAAGCTAGTACATAGGTATGATATTCGTGCACCTCAGGCACAGAACAGTGATCACTGCGTTGACCTATAAAACCAACCATACATGGGAGTGATGACTTCTTCTTAAGCATGCTTGCAACTCATTTCAGCAACTTGATATGTCATAGTGAGAAACCGCAGGCCACGTCAGTGAGGTATGCGTCAGAACAGTCTGCAATCGTGCCTGACATCGAGAACGCCCTCGGTTCGAAGAATCCGAAAAAGGGAGATTGCTAAAGCAAGCTTCTGGTCACAACTTTTATTGAAAGTTGGTCCTAAACAAAAGCGCTCCTTAGTGACTCATTTCCAAAGAGTGCGGAAGATCAGATGATATCCGGTATGCACGACACCGCTATTGGCTGAGATAGAATCCATCATGGTCCTTTCAGTTTTAAACCAAAGTAGACTTTTCTCCGTTCAATCCGCAAGCCCCTATGACCTTAATATGGCCCGTTGCATCGAATATAAGCGCGTAGAAGTATGTAAACTTAATTGGAGGACCAGAACATAGAGATAGCTGATAGCAGGACCTCTATCACCCGGTGATCGTCCGATTTGTTCTTGGAGCACCACCCGCAATAGTAGCTTGCGAAGGCTATGATGCTAGATGTGTCACAAGCAGATAGCATTCTCCCTGTCAATTCCGATTTAGATAAGCGTGTCCTTGATTGGCGGCAGCTTCAAATCCAAAGGATGGCGTTAGACGCTGATAAGTGAAAGCGTTGTCTGCTAACGAATAGTGTTTGCATTTTACGCCGTAAATCGAGTTTACAGTGAGATGGCAGTAACCTTGATAATGACACTGCCAGCCTTCAAAATGGAAAACACGTGGGTGATGGGAGGAATCAGCGCGGCGAATCAGGCGTTCTCCTTGCTCCTGTAAATGCATTTTGAATGTGCGCACGATTGCTAACCATCTCTTAGCCTTTGGCAAGTCATTTTCGAAGGATTTTCGCATCGTGACGTAGCTGCGGGTCTGGTTCACTGTGAGACATCTTAGAAACTCGAAGCCTGTTTGGAAATACCCGTAGGCATTTCTGGATTGCGCAATGCACAGGACTACGGATCACTGTCCAGCAATAACTGATTTTCATTGTGCGTTAGAATAGAACAGTGTCACGGTGTGAGTAATCTAAAAACTTACACATAAAATTAGCCTAATGCTAACTTGTGCACAGCTGGGTCAACAGGAGGCTAGTCAGGAGAGATCTCAGGAAACATGAGCGTATGTCTGATTTTTTCAGAATGTACCCAGCTTTGAAAGGGCACATATTTCGACCCTCTAAATTACTGTGGCCGGATGTCCTCTCGTAGTATTTGACACGCGAAAATATGTAAATGTAACCCAGTATGAGGCATTACAGCCCCATCACTTGGATAGTCAGCATATTTGTAGAGCGTTCAAGATATCTTCTCAAGCTTTTCAACATTGTATTTCATACAGGTCACCAGCAATGAACCAACCCGAAGAGGTCGTAAATCGGTAAATGCCGCTGAGCTTCAAATATCATCGTGCCAGCTGGCAGTTTGTCTCGTTTCAAAGTTGTTCCGACTTGCAAAGCTCCTCCATGTTTACAATAGTACATATATAAGCACATTCAAAGCGAAGTCTTACGAATAGTAAATCCGCCGTGCCCTCACTCGACGCATCTCCTTTTATCAACCCTGAAAGTGAAATGTTTGTGTAGCTCTCCTAGATATCTATCATGCGATGATGTCGTATATTGTGTTATTCCCACTGACACATTCTCTTTGTGATCCAGGGAGTGCAACCTCTTTCCTTGAAGCCAAGTTTTCGGGACGAATTTAGATCTATTGAACCGCTGGCTTCAGCGCCGCATCAATGTCTCCACCTTCGTGTTGCCCACCGTGTCTTCATCTCCACCGCACTGTTCTTGTCAAGTAGACTTTGTAAGTAAGTGTCACTCGAAATTACCGTTCCTTCTTCGTATACCAGCCTAAGAGGTGGCCTGTTGACAGTGGCAACTGGCATTGGCAGCGTCCTAGATTCGCTTTTTCAAGGTGTTTGTCATAAATGGTATCGAAAATGGTGAGTAATGTGCAGTAATTAGTATGTCTGTTTGCTTCAGCTAAAACGTTTTACCCCTCCGCACCTGGACAATTGTTGTGGAACAACCACCCTTTGGAGGCTAGTTACTCCAAATTAACTCTTCATGCCTTCGTTAGTAAGTATATTAGTGCCTGTTGTTTTATCGTCCTCGATATCAAACACCTAGTTTGATTAAAACAGCACAAAATCTGTCATATACATGTATTCAACACCTCGAATATCCTGAGAGCATCCTATCATCGAAAATCACAGACCATGCCAACGGATCAGTCGTTCCGCACCGCCAGAAGCTTTCCGACGGTCGTCGTTCTTACCCGGTCCTGAACTCAATGATGAGGCTTGGAATTCCTCTGATTCTCTGTGTTAACTAATACCGTAATCGAAGTTTCAGGTTTCCACGGAAAACTATCTGCGTTGTCCGAGTTCCCATCCTTTAGTTTATTTCTGCGATGGCTCCCGACGGACTGTGTAAATTGTGTATGAACCTAACTTCAATGAAGATAGCTAAGCGCAATCACGATAATCGACAGGTCGCACTTACCATGGCCTATAGTAGGATTTCTACAGCACCCGAGATTATACTCACTTGACGGGGCTATGTCTCACGCCCTTCATGCATTCATCTCCATTGGGAGACGGAGGAACTGTCATTGTAAGGTTCAAGGTGCGGCCAAGTCTGGGTTCAAGGTTCCACTGCAGGTAGTCTTCACGTACTCAGTTGCATAACTCGTCCATATATATCTCGCGACACCTTCCCTTTTTGAAAGTGACACCGGCAGTGTGATTCGTCCGTGTATGTTTTTCTGCCTTGACACCGACGATCGGTCGAACCAGTAGGAGATGAATTTTCTTCTATGCGAGCAACTTGAATGTTCTAAGTTGGGTTGTCGCGTCATGCTGTAAATAGTATTTACCTCGCGGAGTGCCATCCATTTCCATGTTCACTTTTAGGCGTCTAATTTGTCTCTTGGTCGTGTAGTGGGTGATCACGTTCAACATTCTCTCTGGAACGGCCCCATTGACCATTATGTATCGTGTCTTAAGGCAATGATTCTCAACACCCGCCATGATTTAGCCCATATGACCCCGTATCCTCGCACATGACACCCTGGGCACCATCATACGATCACCGAAGGCTTATACGTCCCTGTGAGCGGCCCGTGAGCCTTCCTCTGATTCGTCACGTCAAGTAAAAGTGAAAAATGCTATGGAGATTCTGGAAAGCCCTGGTCTTGATATTTTCTCTGACTCGGAAACTTTCGTCGCACTTCAAGCACTAGCATGTTTGGATATCCACTCATGATTCCTTTGCGCAACATTGTGAACATTCTATTCCTTGTTCAAATAGTCGTTGGCTTGAACAATGATCTGGAAAGGACTCCTGCGATGGGATGGAACCCTTATAATGCATTCCTGTACGACACTTCACGGTTCAGCATTTTCCCATTGAACTCGTTCACTTCTATAGATGCTCCACTACAGAAGAACAGTACTTGACAGCTGCAAGCAATCTCATTGATACTGGGCTAAAATCTTTAGGCTATGAATATTTCAATTTGTATGTTCCCATTCTCTACTGGAATGAAAGTTTGTCTTACATACTGTTTTCAGTGACTGCGGATGGCAAGGGACAAACCGCACTGCTTCTGGCACTATAACTTGGAATGAAACACGCATTCCTTCTGGAATACCTGCTCTCGGCCAGCACGTTCACGGCCTGGGCTTCAAGTTTGGTGTTTACAGCGATGCGTGCGTCTCAGTGGCTTTTCTAGACTCCCATGTGTAACCTTCTATAACTGTATTATAGCGGATATTACTCCTGCGATTTTGTCAATGGTCAAGCTCACTGGATTGGAAGCCTCGGTTATGAACTATCTGATGCAAAAACGTTCACCTCGTGGGGTGCTGACTATTTGAAGGTACGTGTTATAAATGTTTTGTCGTGAAGAGACCCCTAAAGTATACCCTAAGTATGACAACTGCTACTCAGTTAGCCCAACCGATTTTGTAGATGATTATCCCCCTATCCGCCTGGAGGTAATCGTGTTTTCTTTTCCTTCATCAAACAATGCAGACTCAAGTAAATCTAAGCCTCATTACACAGCGATGCGCGATGCTCTGGCGGGAACCGGCCGACCTGTCGCGTTTTCTATGTGTGAATGGGGCGTACAAGATCCCGCCCGATGGGCCCCCGCAGTGGGAAACTCATGGAGGATAGCGTATGTTCACTTCTTTTCAAGACGCGTAAAGACAGCCAATCGGCTCATCAAACGTGTATCAGGAACGACATAGGCCCACCTCCATCTTGGGATAACGTCTTCCGTATCATCAATCAGGTAGTTCCTATAACAGGCTTCGCAGGACCCGGAGCCTGGAATGACCTCGATCTTCTCGAAGTTGGAAACGAAGGCCTGAGCGTTGCTGAGCAAGCAAGCCATTTTGCCTTTTGGGCTGCGGCGAAGTGAGCATCTCTATCTTGATTATTCATATGAATCAAACTGGGAAAAAATGGCTCAAGCTTGACCTTCCTGAATCAGGTCTCCCCTTCTGGTGTCAACAGATCTGACTAGTCCTGCTGAGTCCACTCTCACGATCCTAAAAAATACTAGGATTATTGCACTGAACGTGGATAATACTGCTGGTTCCTTATCCTATGTCAAGTTATTGATGATGCCATGTTTGGTTACCCTTTTAGCAAGATCCACTCGGAACATCAATAACGTTCAAGAGGCGCTACACCAATGACTATGATGTTTGGGCTGGTCCTTTGGCCGATGGTTCTACCGTCGCAGGTGTGTGAGATTGGTGTGTATTTCCGGCAGCGTACTAACCCCACCCCACCGTTAGTGCTGTTAAATTGGCAAAACAGCTCGCGCTCTCTTACTTTTGATCTTTCAGATGTTGGCTTCGAGTCTGCGGAGGCGATTGATTTATGGACTGGCGACAATCTAGGTCTTATCAAGGCAAAGCAAGTAGTACAACTTACATTATACTCTCTACCGTTCTGACATGAATTTTGAATTCAGCTATACTTCAAATGTAGCTGCACATGGCTCACTGGTCTTGAAACTGGCGGACGGAGCCGAAGCACCAGCGCCATCATTCTTCTACTATCCTGCGGCCGCGTCTAGTAGCGTCATAGCTGGAGGTGCTTCCACTCGCGTTGTGAACTCTACTGTAACAGTCGTTGGGTATATTGGTATGGGCGGGACTTTGACATTCACCAACGTTGATGGGGGGACTACGGGCGGCACGAAGCTGGTTTCGCTCGATTATATCAACGCAGACTACACATTCACTAATACGGCATGTTCGAACTGTCGGAATGCATGGGTCTCTGTCAACGGAGGCGAGGCAGTACAGGTACAAATGCCCATTTCAGGACAGGTGCGTTGGTGCAGATGGGCCGAACAGAAGTATCATGTTGGAAGGCTGACCTAAACTTCTTCATCTAGAGCTGGGACATCAAGTTCAGCGGATACTACGTTGGCCTCTCTGATTTTATTCCTGGCGCCAACAATACAGTTGAATTTTCGAATCCGAACAACGCCTGGGCTCCTGACATGGTGGGCTTGGGTGTACAAACCGAGCTATAGTATAAGTGATGATGACAGTTGTATGTAAATTAGTATCGTGTATGGAACGCTTCTTCAGCAATTCGAGAATTGCTACTGTCGAAACGAATAGCGGGTAGTCCACAAATTATTTTTTCGTACCAACTTTGTGGTACCGGCGAGGTGGACACGGAGTGCAATACAGTGAAATAGTTTTATCTCCTGCGGTGTGCCAGCAAAAGTAACCCTACAATGGCTAACATGATAACGTCAGTAACCAAGATGAGCCCCACGACAGTTGATCATTCGGTGTCCACAGCATGTCACTCTGAGCGCTGAGAATTTTTGCAGTCATGTCTTCTACCAGACCGCATGTAAAAGCCAGCGGTTGTGAGGCTGCCATGTAGAGCATACGATATTCTATCGAGAGTATTCGGGGATATCTATGCATAATCTAAGCGTTATATTTCGTGCAGATCAGGCTAACGAACAATAGCATACACTGACAAAAACATTCAATCGAACGCATACTGGCGAGAATTCGATACCAAAAAACTAGAATACCCTGAAAGCAATTCATAACAAATAAATCATAGAGAGGAGTGGAGAGGGCGGGGATATCATGGGCGCACGGTGGGAGATCAATAGGAATACACGTGCGTGCGTTGGCGAACCAATTAGACTATGAGGTGGTGCGGAGGATCACAAGGATACCATCGGAGTGCGCCGAAAATATTGCATCGACAGGTCTTTCATCGTCCGTCGGTGATGTTGGAGAACTGCGGGACGGCTTCGGGCGTGAGGAAGAAGAGGCTGGTCCGGAGTGAGATGCGTGTGATCGACTAGGACGGTTTTTAGAGCTGCTGCGCGCGTGTGACCCACGTCTGTGTCGCGATGGAGTTGGCTCGGATTGACGTGAACTAAGGGGGCTGTCGAGGTTAGAGGGGTAAAGACAATAAAACGGAGACGATACCTAGAATCTCGGCCCTGGGCGAACAGCTTGAACTTTCCAAAGCCAAAGCCTCCATCGCTTGGTTGTCCCCGTTCATTGACACCCCAAGCCTTGATGACGTCAATCCAGCTGCGCACTATTTCTTCATCCCGTTGTACAACAAAATCAAAAAATGGACGACCCATTGCATGTGTAGTTGAGAGAAGCTGGTCGTTTGAGCAATATATAACAGTGCAGTTGACGGTGAACCGGTCTAGGATAAGAGCGGTGCGGACGGACTGAGTAGGCAGTGGGGAGAAAGTGATGACTTCGAGCTCAGGGTCTTTCTTGTTACTCGCTTCTTTCTCCTTTGCTGGTCCGCCTGCTTTAGGTGGTGGTGCACCGGTGATTATTGCAGGTAACGTTATTTCAGGTACGGGGCTAGGAGGCATCGGAGATGGATCACCCCATCGCTGTAGGGTATAAGACAAAGGTGTAAGCTTCGTTAAAAGATGCTCACTCTTAGCTCGAAATCTTTAGCAGATGGAGTGACAACTTCGACTTCCTGTGCAGTCGAAGCGTTGTGCATAGCTTTGGCTCCAGGAGCGGCAAAAGATACACTGCCCACAAGGACGTTATGAACGACCGTCCTAGACTAGTACAGGAATGGTGTGAGCGACGGTCAAACACAAAAAGACATCAGACGAACAACAGCGCAAAGTATGTAACCTTTGTATGGGTCTTTATGCTTTAAGCGTAGATAAGCTAGGACTGCGGCCTTATCTTGTCGTATGGTATCACTAGAGGGCATTGGGATAATTAATTGTGAGGTATGTGCACCAGATGATGCACACGCACTAGTGCATTTTTCTGATCCGACGAAACTCGTCTGGATGAACGAGCTCCAAGGATGGCCGACCTACCAAATCACGAGGCTCGAAGCCTGACGAACGCTGAGTGCGGTCGAGTGAGGGGCAATTGACACATCTTACCCAAGAGATCCGATACGGACTCTGAAAGGAACAACCAACGTGCCTATTTGAAGGCATTGTGTCAAGTGGAAGTGTTATTTAGCAGGCGAGAAAACTTATTCACGTCTTGCGAAAAATCCACGATGCCAACTGGGTTTGAGCGTCAAAAATGGGACGATGGGACATTGGGAAAGATAAAGAAAGAACATACTGAATGACACACACGGCGTGGTGGAGTTCATAGTTGAAAAGAGAAATATGCGAGCGTCAAAGTGCTGGTCCGCAAACCAAGGATGGATATTACGAGGATTCGGAGGAGTGCGAAACAGAGAAGGAAGAACGAACGCGGGATATGAGGCTTTATATCTATAAACCGCGCTGCCGCCAGTGGCCCAGGTAAAGAACTGCCGCTGAACTAGCCTTAACCATGCTTTTTAACAGGCTTTCCTATCCGGAATTTTATATCAGGCCACAAGGCACTGGCTGTCCAAGGTTATACGCAATTAAATGCCAGCAGTCCAAGCTTTGCAATTGGGGAGATGAGGGCATTGTCGCCAAAAGGAAAAGGCCCAATACGCGAGCCGCGCGAACCAAGGACGCGCTCATTTTAATTTTCTACTGTCACCAGCCACCAGGCCAAGGTCTGCAACCTGCAGCATTATAACACAGTAAGTCATCTAGCTGGGTATATATTTCCTTGCTAACTCTATACAAAAGTCAGCCGAAACGTGCATAAAAAGTTTAACCGAAAGTTTGGCTCGGGCGTTCGCCAGATTCCGTGGACAACCTCAATCTTATATATTTACGACATCCATTGTCATCTGACCAGGATCTGTACGACAACTCCGGGTCTTTGTTCACCTTACTTTCGCTGGAGTATCGCCATATTTATTTTCTCAAATGTGGTCCACAGCTCGAGAGGTTGCTGCGGGTGACACGGTCATCATATGGCAGGCAAGTACCTAGCCTAAAATACTCTCCATTTCCATCCAGTCGGCTGAGACGTAATTCCACTTGCTCGTCGTCATTTTTATAGACTCGAGACTCAATCCAACCATTGATAATCACTCCAGGCAAGGATTATAACAGCAAATACGGAAATTTTCGTCAATCAGACTTCGTTGGCGTTCCTTACGGTTCAAAAGTCGTGCCGCGCAATGGAAAGGGATACCTCCATATCCTGCGGCCCACGCCTGAACTCTGGACTATGGCTTTGCCCCATCGCACCCAAATTCTATATCTTGCCGACATAGCTTTCATTACCTCGTGGTTGGACATCAAACCGGGGAGCCGTGTCATTGAAGCTGGTATGTGACAGTAAACCATTGAGTTGCTCTCAAGGAGCGTGAGTCTGTCTTTCATGCGCCATCGTGAACGGTTTGTAATCGGTTCCGGTGCAGCCACGATGGATACACGTGCCGTTTCGTGGGTCTTCTGACGGTTTTTCAGTTGTCATCCAGCTAGCAGATCCTGAGTCGTGTGTGATCTGAGCTAGCTGAGGGCATTAGATCGTTCTGCACGATGCCAATCTTGTTTCCTCTTACCATTCAATTATAACGTCTTCTTATACCCTCTCACCTGGTCACAATCTTCTAGGTACGTAACAAACTCTCACGGAACAGCCTCCAACACCACAATCAGAACCCTGACATTTCTCTCGAAGGTACCGGTTCGGGGTCATTCTCTCACTCCGTGGTGAGAACAATCGGTACCACTGGCCATTTATGGTCCTATGAATTTCACGAGGCAAGGGCCAATAAGGCAAGGTACGCGGTTATTATCCCAAAAATGAGCACTTGGCAAAAATTCACCGGTATGCATATTAGAGCAGAGTTCATCCTCCATGAAATGTCAGATACTGTGACCCTTACTCATCGTAATGTCTGCAAAGCCGGATTTACTGTCACGAACATAGCGGACTCGGGTATGTCAGGCTGCTTATCGTTATACATAATATCATTACTCAAGCACCGATGTTACTGCAGTATTCCTTGACCTGCCAGCGCCATGGGACGCCGTGGGGCACGCGAAAAAGGCGCTGAGAGTAAGTTTGTTGCGTCTATTTTATCTGTCATTATGAATAAAATTGTGGGTTTTGAAGAAGGACCGTATCGCCCGAATATGCTGTTTCAGTCCTTGTATAGAGCAAGTTTTGAGGACTGTCAGCGCACTAAATGATTTAGGGTTCACTGGTATGTTTTGTTAAATGCTAAGCAGCTCGTACTTTGCCCTCATCATTGCAGGTATCACTATGTATGAGACTCTAATAAGACCGCACGAGGTTTATCAAATCCCACAACCACGTCCTCTAAACGAAATCATTGATAAACTGAGTAAGTCGGAGCAAAAGCGGGAGGACAAGCGACAACGGCAAATTGCTAATTCGAGGGGACGGAGCGCTGTAGACACCGATAACAGCAAAAGAAGAAGGGATGACAGTGCGGATGAAGAGCCGGTACGAGAAGACGGGTCCAAGAGAGTTAAAGTGGACGACGGGCAAGCTCATGATTCAGAAGATGAATCCGAGCAAGTTGGGGCCCAAACCTTGGATCAGCCAGATAGCTCGGGGTTCGCAGGTCCGACAGATTCGATGCCGTCCTCATCGCAGACGAAGATGAATGTATCGAAGGCTATGCGAGAAGTGCGAGGTCATACTTCCTACCTCACTTTCGCATGTTTAATACCATCACCTCCGGCTGGTGAGGATATGAAGGAAGATGGGGACGCGAAGGTCCAAGAAGATACGAATGTGAAAGAAGACGAAGACATAAAGGAAGGCGGGGATGCGGAAGTGGTGACGGACTTGACTTCATAAAATTGTGCGTACTAAAACACGTCGCGGCTTTGTCGTATAGGGGCTTATTGTTTAGTAAATTACTTGAGTACAATAGGCAGGTACATGTACAAGATGTCATTATCCAAGCTAACCTGTAGTGTATTTAAGAAGGTGTAAGTTAAATCTATTCCGCTATTGCTTCTCTGTATGCCATTTCCATTTCCATTTCTTGCTGGACCTTCGCCGCGCTCTTCGGGCCACGAGGACGCAGTACTCTGCTCGGGGTAGGAATAGGGGTGGATGTGGCGGATTTCCGACCCCTCTTCTGGGGTGAAGTCTGCTTACTATCATCATCCGACAAACTGTCGGCTCTTGCTCTCTTCTTCGCCGTCTTGCGCAAGGTTGACCGAGACGCGGATGCAGTATTGGTGTCACCCTTCTTTTTGCTAGCTGTGGCAAGTGAACTCTTCAATGCACTATTGCTTCTGCTGGATTCCGCAGTATCCGCTGTCGCAGTATCGCTAACAAATTTCACTGGTGAGTTGTTCGTTACTTCTTGTTTTCTAGCGTCGCCCTCAGCCAGTTCACGCATAGTAATCGGTGCACCATTTCGGCGCTGAGGCTGGATATCAGAAATGATAACGTCTATATCAAGCGCGCTGTGATCGACAGATGAGGGCCCTTGATCGTCAACAGCCATAACTGAGTCAATTGTGGCGGTAGTACTATCTTGCAGCATCTGGTCCCCTCGATCGGCGAGGGGAGGCTCAAAAGAGGAAGTAGGGGCAGTATGATGGTACTTTGGTAGCTGAAAAGGTTTAACGACATCATCTGCAGTGGTGAGGAATCCACCGGGCTGTTCCATATCACAAGAATTATGATCAGCATCTTTTCAAGGTCGCATCGTGACTGAATACGATGTACCTCTTCTCCAACCTCCGGAGCCTGCTTGTCAACCCAATGTAGTTCTGGTTGCTCCCTTTCTGGATCTGTGGCATATTGTTTTTGAAGGCGTTGTCTTATCCTAAGACCATGTATGAGGCGCGTCCAACGTTTAAGGACCTGTTCCTGACGTTTTATGCGAGCTTTCTCCTCCGCATTCTGTTCAGCTTCCCAGTATGCCTAAATAGCCGGAGTGAGTATTATAGCTTTAAGATTAGCAGGCATTCTATTCCTACCTCCAATAAAACGGCTTCATTCTCTGATGCTACTACAATACCTTCAATAACCGGATTGGCTCTTTGCTTTCTAAATTCAAACCCAGTCTACCAGCCGTCATAAGTGCGAATGGGGGTTAACCTGCTGATCAGATGACTTACGACGGCCTCTGCGTAGTCAAAGCCCAACTTTCTTGCAATCTTGGCAACACCTTTGACTAAAAAAAAAATCAAATGTCAAAGCGAGGATTGGCTAGATAACTAATGCGTTGCACGTACATGGAATATGTGCTCCGCCCTTTGGAAGCATCGTGGGGACGTATAGATCGATATTCCCAAAATCATTTTTGGGAATTTTGCCCTGTACAACCTTGGTAAGATGATATGCAGAAAGAGGAGAGGAGATAACACCAACGTCAATGATAGGTTCAGGCTGATAAAGCTCCGTTTGACTTCTTGCATACATTCCCTGCAGCATCTCTTCTTCCCCTGCTCCACCACTACCATCCTCCCTTGCTCTCTCCAATGCCAACTCGATCTCCCTTCTTTTGTTAACTGTGGCAGCACGCTGTTTCACCATCTTCATAGGCTGGCAGCCCTCGCGAACCTTACGCCCCTGCCTCATCCAATTCTCCGCGGTTTTAAGGGAGATGACGGATGACCGCGGATACACGGGCTCACCACGGAATTTGCCAAGCTCAGTGGGTGGGTCAATGACTTCCTCGCGTCTAAGATGTCGCGCGAGAACATAGCTAAAGGAGAAGGATTAAAATTAATGATGTGTATTATATAGAATCTTGCTAATGTTCCGCTTACAGAGGATGGTCCTTGAACCCGGCTATTGTGGTAGGCATACCCTCCGTCAGTTGATGGTTATGCAGCTCGTCATCTTCAAGGTCATCTCTTTCCTGGTGATAAAATCAGCACAGTAATTGCTCATCACTTGATGAATATTTTACCAGTCGATACGGCCTTGTAATTATCCTCACTACTCTCTCCCACCATTCTTTGCGCCTACCTCCAGCACCACTACCGACCCCTTGTACTTTTGCTACTTTCGCCGTGTAGTCCCGTGCATACCGGGGAGTGACATCGCGCCCATAGCCATCTTCCTCGAGGGAAATCACATATAACATGCGATTCTCCTGCCTGCCTGTGGCGCTGGCAGGTCCGGCCGATGTGGACGGTAATGGATCGAATATTTTGCGTTTATTGACAATCCCTCGAATAGGATCAACAGGGAGCCAACGCAAATCAGCACGGGAAAAGACCTCAGTCCAAAATACAGGTGGAATAGTCAATGGATTACTTCCTGTATAATATGAGAGATGTGAGCAATAAACATACATCGGTAATTTTGGCCCACCGAACACTTACTTTTTAGATGAGAGACTGGGTTGGACGAAGAACCTGAGGCATAACTTTTGCCTTTTGCCTTGCGAAGTTTGATAACAGGCTGAGCCTTTTCCTTCCCTTTTCCTTTGTGATCCGCAGCGCTAGTTCTGTCTAGTTTCTGCTCATTGCCTTGGAGTGATCCACTCGCATCATTTGCCTTCCCTTTTCCCTTCAAATCTACCTTAGTTGGAATCTCCACTTCTTCCATGTCCTCTTCCTCGGCCTCCTCCGGATCTTCTTCAGCAGCCTTTTCTTTGCCCTTGCCCTTACCTACTTCCTTTCCAGCCTTCTTCTTTACTGTCTTAGGTTTGGGCTTGCCCACTCCTGCCTGCCATGGGACACTCTGTAAACTGACCACCAACCTAGCTGGGATATCTAAAGCTCTGCAAAGCGCAGTGAACAACTGTGCACTAGTATCTCGGGAACCCTGTTGCATCAACGCATGTTTCATAAGACTTTTTTCACTCCGCACCACTTCTAGGTCGTCATCAATGTCTTCAAGGTCGAGTACTTGGTCTGGCGTTAACATTGAAAGTTCTTTTTGAACTTCATCAAAAGTTTTGCTACGGATATGACCAGAAGGAAGTACCGAAAAGAATGTACCTGTCCACCAGTCTACGAGGCGTGTTATAGCAGACTCAAAGAGTCGACCGCGCTTGTTTGGGTCTGGAATTCGAGACTTGTGAATCATCGCGAAGCCATTCTGTATAGAGAGCGGAGTGAGGGAAAGGAGGCGGGCCTATAAGAGAATGAAATGAGTCCATATTGATCAATTAAGTTATACAGAAAAGGTTTGAGTGAAGGACAGACATGCAATAGCTCGTCATTTAACCATTGATTTCGAATGCGTGCATTTGCAAGGAGACAGATAGTGTGGAGTTTATGACACTCTGTTCGAACGAGCCGATCTGCGTGTGATATGGCTGAGGACTTCTTTCTACAAAATAACAAGTAGAAACAGTGTAAAGTTTGATAAATATTCCAGTGCGAATTACTCACTTGGCATCATCTTTCTTTGGACGCGTTAGGAGAGTGATTTCTATGTTTTCCCTCGCTGGCGGATCTTCTATCTGGAGCTCAAGCTCCTGGCCCGCTGGCAGTTGAGGTGCATGGTTCGGGACATCCACTTCCTCCCATTCGAAATCGTCGTCGCTGTTATCGTCCATGGGTGATATTTCATACTCTGCCATGATGGTTCTCCGCAAGAAATGCCAGAAAATGAGTCACTGGCTTTTGGGTCAGATTCCGACAACGGCTTAGGCAGCGAATCGTAAATGGGACACGTGTGTGACGCGTCACGTCATGCACATAATCACGCTTGCGCGTATGTCACGCGATTATGCACTGACTCGCATACAGGATTATAATTAGCGGATATGAGATTTGCCATGTCCGTGCTTACGCCAAGGGGGCTGAGGAAACTGCAGTGAGTGTAATAATCAGCTCATCGGGAAGCAATAGCTTACCAAAACGTCGATATAACAGGTCTTCTACACGTCAACAAAAACACACTGGGCGCGAGTTTGGATTTCCAATGTCTTCGCAGAACTCCTCAATACCTATTCCTGGTATAATATTCGCGTGTCATTGCTCTGGTGACCTGCTGCTACTACCAATATTGTTATCATATCGCGCTTTATCGGGTAATCCACATGACAATGAGAGACGCCTTCACGGTCCTTTTCCCTGAATGAAATGATGGCTGCGCCATCCCCATTATAAAGCAGCAGTGAGACCATCGGCTGCACCTTACAATCTTGTTGACAGAATTCACCTAGCCATGTCCAATACTTTCGTCTATCAGTTCGACACACCGACCTTCAAGGGCACCGCAACGGTGCCTACCGGTCTTTTCATCAACGGAAAATTTGTTGAGCCAGTTGAGGGAGGGACCATAGAGTGCGTTTCCCTGCCACTTAGCACTTCACTGTACTAATCAAGGCGATCGGATTAAGTGTAATTAACCCAGGTACGCTGATCATCTCGATACTCGTATATCATCGTACTTATATGCTTTCCGTCTGAAGCCAATGGCAAATTGCTCACCAAGATATCTGCTGGAACTGCTAAAGATGTCGACATCGCAGTAGAGGCTGCAAGGGTCGCATACAAAGAACGATGGGGTTTAAAAGTCCCTGGTGCTCAGCGAGGCAGAATGCTCAACAAGCTCGCGGATCTCATGGACCAACACCAGCAGGAGCTAGCTGCCCTCGAGGCTTTGGATAATGGTCAGTTCGATCCCACTTATTTATTTTCCATAGTTAGAAAACGAAAATTTATTATTTCAATCAGGAAAAGCATACAATGTTGCTATGGCAGCTGATTTACCAAGCTCAGCTGCTGTTATCCGCTATTATGCAGGTTGGGCAGACAAGATACAGGGTAAAACAATCGAGGTAAGTATGGCAGAAAATCATCTTTGTTGATCTAATCATTAAACTTCGTTGTTTTCTAGACTACTGAAAAAAAAATGGCCTACACTCGTCATGAGCCCTTTGGTGTCGTTGTATGCGCTCTCCTTTATCTCTCGCTTTTATGTAAATAATGAGGCCGATCTTTTCAGGGCGCGATCATTCCTTGGAACTTTCCTCGTGAGCGTATCACCAGATCCACATTAAGAAACGTACTAAAAACATCGATACAGTCAACATGTTAACCTGGAAAATTGGTCCCGCTCTTGCCACAGGAAACGCAGTGGTCTTGAAACCTTCCGAGCTAACACCCCTAACTGCTCTCCGATTATGTTCGCTAATCAACGAGGCCGGGTTCCCTCCTGGTGTTCTCAACATCGTCAATGGATATGGTCACACCGTAGGACAAGCTATCAGCGAGCACATGGTCATTCAAAAGGTTGCCTTCACCGGTAGTACCATGACTGGCAGGAAGGTCATGGAAGCTGCCGCAAAGAGCAACCTCAAAAACGTCAGCCTTGAGCTTGGCGGGAAAAGTCCGAGTATTGTATTTGACGATGCCAACTTGGAGCAAACTGTAAAATGGGTTGCTCACGGAATCTAGTGAGTACCTCCCTAATGTCGAACAGCATTATAGCATTATACTGATCTTATGTGAAGCTTCAACCATGGTCAAACATGTACTGCTGGTTCTCGGATATTCATCCAAGCAGGTATCTACGACACGTTCGTGCAAAAATTCAAGGAGCACAGCTTAACTCTGAAGCTCGGTGATCCATTCGAGACGACGACCTACCAAGGTCCTCAGGTATCTCAAACACAATTTGACGTGAGTCAAGCATCAGGTCAATTACTCATTGAGCGAAGCGTGCTAAAAAATCATATATATATCAGCGTATCATGGGATACATCGAGTCAGGCAAAAGCGACGGCGCGAACCTGCTTATTGGTGGAGCCAGGCATGGCACTGAGGGATACTTCATCCAGCCTACGATCTTCACAGAATGTAAGCCAAGTATGAAGATTGTTCGAGAGGAGATATTCGGGCCTGTTGCAGCTGTCGCCAGGTTTACCACTGAAGAAGGTGAGTGTCGTTGTATGCGTCTACGACTCATCTTGCATGGGAGGTGCTGAAGGCATGCACCTACCTACAGAGGTCATTGAACTAGCAAACGATACCTCATATGGTTTAGCTTGCTGTGTGTTCACACAAGATGTCAACAGGGCAATACGAGTAGCACACAGTATCGAGGCCGGTACCGCATGGGTGAGCATCTTCCATTCTAATACGCTGAGATGCTACTAACAACGTCAATGTCAATTTTTCAAGGTCAACTGTGCTAACCATTCTGAGGTAGCGATTCCTTTTGGAGGATTCAAGCAATCCGGTATAGGTCGTGAGCTTGGAGAGTATGCTCTTGAACAGTAAGTGACATGCTATGCCTGCCATCGCTAGAAATTTCCTGATCTCCAGCTTGCGCCGTTTCAGCTACACAAATGTGAAAGCTGTCCATGTCAACATTGGTTATGAACTGTAGGATTTATGATGTGACGGCAGCGTACTTCTCATGACGTGTATCATTCTACCTGTACTCTATCTGACAAGCTTTTTCGACTGTTCTTGTATATCAACTCTTGCACTCTCAAAATAATCATCTCACGTAATAACTTGAACAATGCAATACCAGTGCAAGGTCACATCTGTAGGATCATCACCCTGCAGGAACGCAGATAAATGATGGAGAGGAAAAACCATATACATACTAGTATTGTCGTCGCCGTCGGGTCAGAATCAATCGTGAATGCGTTGTATTATCGTGCCAATAACTACGTACCAATTCGTACCATCGTACAAATTTCGTAAAATATCAATAATAAAAAAGCGTTACTGTCGTTGGACCTAGACCATGGGCGTCCGAGTGTGTCGTTAACATCATAATGAAAAAGTCGTAAAGGCATACTATTAATGGAGTGCAACGTATGATATATCGTCCGTAGAGGAAGGATACAAGCCTAATGAGGCTAGTCTATCCTACGAAGCATTCTTTCCCATTTTCGTATACGGCTCGTGGCTTATAATTGAGAGTTTTGTCGTCCATTCGGTCCTTTACCGTATAGTGGAATTTGGGGATAGGATCGGGGATGTAACGGCCCCTGCCGAGATGAATGCTAGCAGTAACATGAGTACCTCGAACCTAGGCAGCAGAATTGATACAATCCAACGTACCTCCATGTTTTGTGCCACAATCCGTCGGGACCCTGCCAGGCAAAGTCGAGAGGAATGATTTCCAATAACCACCAGAGCTTCTGCATTTGCAATTCATCATGCATTTGCGCTAGTGCATCTGAGAGCTCCGGGGAAGGGGTAGGACCTGGTGTTGTTGGTGTGGGATTTTCGGGGATAGCAGGAGCCCCGGGTGCTGAGGACGTGAGCGATCCTACAGGATGGGAAGAAGTGGATGCTGGGTTTAGCGAAGAGTCTAGACTGCGTTTCTCTGAGGAAAAATTGATATGGGTTGCATGACTGTTGGAGGATGGCCGAGACTTTGGTAGGAATGAGGTGGATGATATACCATTACGTTCTAATGCATCGTTATCAAAGAGAATGCCGCATTGCGAGGCAACGATTTGTTCGACCATCCATTGTAAGGTTATGTGTGAAAGAGACGTCTTGACATCGTCTTGTACAGCTCCTCCGCCAATATCTTTATGTGACATCATTAGGCTGTAGTAAGCCATGCCATAGTAAGCGTAGGCACTCACCCGTGTGGCAACCCGAAAACCACACCTCAAGGACATCAGTGGCCGCTGGAGGGGTGGGTGCGGTAGGTGCTTCTTCCTCCACCACTCTTATGATGATATCATCCCGTGTCAATATATCATCCTCCGTGCGAATACATGCACGTTCGTCGTTTATGGTGACCGTCATTTGCTCCTTTCCTGAAGAACATTTCTTCCTATCGCATTTTGGCCCTTTCTTCCCAGACTTACTCTTCAGAGTACCAACTTTGTTGTGCATCTTGGTCTTGAACTTCAAAAAGAAGCTACCGCTTGCATGTTCGGGGTCAAGACCTGCATTGACTTTGTCAGGATCTAGCCGGTGATACAGATTTGGGCGGAATTTCGCCCGATGCTAGTAGATGGGCAATGTTATTCTCGATGTAAACATGCAGCAGCTAAACATTGCTCACCTCGTCGAGAGCTAGTGCCTGTCTGAACGTTCTGATAGATGTGTTAGAGTCTGTAAAAGGCAAGCTTCGGTTCATGAGGATCCCTGTACTTTGCACAGTATCCCTGAAATGGGCCAAGAATTAGATGGCATGCTTTCAAGGGGGGTATATGCAACTAACCACACCCCGACAAAGTCAACTCGCACATCCCGAGAGAACGTTTGCTTGAACCCTGCAGCTAAAATTTTTCCTTGCTTGTCCGTGCGCTTGTAGAGCTTATAGGCAAAAGAGACCTGTTGGATATTGAACCGGGGAATTAAGCCAACCTGGATCGGATCTTGAATTTGCATCTGCATAACAATGTGTAAAAGACGATCATCATACCTTGTTCAGCATCCCAGCCAGAGCACGCGCTGTGTATGCTCCTCGAGAGAATCCTATTAAAGGCGAGGTACTGTGAGCTATGAATGAATAAAAGCTTCGTCATGCGAAACGTACCAAATAAGCAGATCTTGTCGCCCTCGCGATAGTTGTTCATGAGGTATTGGTACCCCTGCATTACATGAGCATCGAGATACCTGACGAGGAGGATTCGGATGTGCTCAATGACGAGAGATATCCATATCAGGTATATGCGTACCATGCGAAAGCTTCGTCCATGAGTTTTGCGAACCACATGAACAAGGGGGACACTGTGCCAGGAGAAAAATATGTCCCCACCCCCGCCTAAAGACAAGTCAGACCAACGACCTCGCACTCTGCAAGCAGACTTGCCTGGTAATAAGCAAGCTGTTCGTTTGTATCTTTCTGGAATAATGAGAACAACTTGACAACATTCGAGTTCTGGAGATTGGATATGATAATTACATCATCGACTGGTTATGCTAGATATGACTTACCGTGGCATCATAATGGCCTGCTGTGCCATCGAAACACAGGACGATTGTGCGAGGCTTCCTCGACATGGTGGACTCGCTGTCGGAACCAGACATGATTGGAGATGGAGGTAAAGTTCAAGTAGTGGTAATGGGTAAGCTTGCAATCAACCGCTAAAAGAACCAAGTCACTATAAAAGGCCTTGTGATCGAACTGGTGATGCTATAGTGGGATCGAGAGCTCCTTCGCAACGCAGCCAACCAGCAAGCGTATATATGTGAAGCTGGGCACAAAAAGGGAAAGCTGGATATGGCAGACTTGCCCGGGGCCAGTATACTCTTCTTCCGTGATTGGTCTGCTTATTGGAGACTAGGGCCAGTAAGACTCCAGTCAGGTTCGATGGAATACTGATTTCTAATGACAGATGGTAGCCATTCTGAGCACTGTTTGTACTTGGGGGAATATCCTGTGTGATGACGATCAGAAACTTATAATGCGAACGAACGCCTTAAGGACACCGCACATGTGTCGCGAGGTGGCGACGCTGGCGCTTCCTGGCATATGATGGCCATATATCCATCTTTTGCTTCCGTAACTCATATATTTAATTTGATACCCACCCACAATAGGCATCTGCTTCAGCTCTTCAGTCGTAATGGACTTTTCTCTGTACCGTCACAACTGTAGCTCGTTAGACACACCATTCAACGTCAAGTTTGTCAAGCTTTGAACCAAAATAGGTTATAGATCAGACCAGCCACAGAAACCACAACGTTAACTGGCTAAACCCGAATCTTCTTATCAGGCGCAACACAGCTCCGTTTCGAGCTTTGTGGAGCCTCATGACAACCCTGGTACTCTGGGCTTGGCTCGGATCATAGCTAGTTCTTCCAACAGGGTGCGATGTCTATACGCAAGACGAATATCCGGTACATTCGTCTAAAACACCCCAAATACTCCATGAACTGCCAAACAGTTTCAGCTAACAAGTATTACATACCTTGTGAATATCGTTTCCGGCTGCTCCAGGCAAATACCATTCTCGACCTAACCAGTGCCGCTTGAGTTCCATTTCAAACCCGCTTTGGAGAACCGAGTTGCGGGCAAGCTCAGCGAGAGAGCTTTGTGGCAGTTTATAGATCTATAATAGTCATCAGCACAGCAGTTTCTCCTGATGTGCGATCTAAAATCATAATAGATCTATCTTACGTGTGCTGCGACGCTGTATTCTTCTAAAAGCGGTTCCTGTCAACAAAAACATGAAATTCGGAATGTTCGCGGGGTTCCATATCATCATACCTTTGTAAAATGAAATTGAAGCGGGTCATCAGTGCTCAAACTGACATTTAAACCTGTTTTGAAGAAATCAGGGAGGGGGTTTCTTTCATACGTGAGAAAGAGGGCGTTGTTGCTGAGAGGACTCATGGCAAGACCGATCTGCTTCAGATAGAACAGGTATTGCAATGCTGGGACTTTACGGAGCAAAATGCCGTGGGAAATAGAATGCGATGTAAGGAACGCCGCTGTTAGATGATCAGTATCTCCTGCTTCTCCTGCATGAGGGCGCAAAACGAATGTGTCTTTGAAACGAACTTAGGTAAGAAGGTGCATACGTCACAGCCTAGGAAAGTAACATACTAAATCCTCGGGCCCGCCTCCAGTTGTTGAGACTAGCCATATTCGCATACATGTAATAAATCCTGTAACACGTCTTGAAATAAAACACAGAGCATACGAGAGAAAACTATACCAATATGAGTATGGTGGGTTTTGAGGAGCATCCCACAATCGAGGGTATGGGAACTTGCGGTGGAACCTTCTTTCGGCCTTTGATTCATCATCAACACTGTCAAAGCCGATCACACGCTGAAGAAAGATATGAAGTTCGGGGTGCGACGTGGGATCACGAGTGACCTCGAACAAAGGGCGGAAAATATCTATACAAGGCGGAAACTCAGCTATTGCCAGAGACGCGAGATAATACCTGACATACTGGTGACAATATCTTCAAACGTCGAAACAGAACCATTGTCTTTGTATATGTTATACAAACGTGGAATCTGAACAAGCCAGCGCACATTGTGCGAATACAGTTTATTCCCAACTATCCACTTGGCCAGTTTGTCCCATTCGTTTGGAGACCGACCGTATATGCTGATTCGCCATTCGCAATTCTTGACATAGAGTAAGTACCAGTGGATAGCTGTGCGCATATAACAATCACCTGATACTTGCTTTGTTCAAGGTCAGTCATGACCTCTAACATACAGTGTTAGCTATCAAACAGCCAACGATTACAGGACCAACCTTGCGTCAGCTCTGCCAGATATCGTCCTTCTATATAATTGTCTGTTTTCAAGAAGATTTCTCGCAGCCTAGATTCTCCGATAGGATTGTATTTCAAGTTAAATTTGTCAAAGCGGTGAAACGAGTCTTGATGCGCGTGCATATCAAGTGTGTCGATGGAAAGCTCATACGCAGTCAGTTTCAGAGACTGGAATACCTGCTCGAGGGTTAATTCTGCGCCATCGCGGAAAATGACAACATCCTATTACCAGTATCAAATAAAATGGAGTTTTACCAAGCATGCAATGATCTCACCTGGGGGCTACGCTTCATTTTTGATTTGATGAATCGCAGAAGATGCTTCTGATTCATGCTGCTAGAATGATGAACATGGGTATCAACTTTGCGCACATTATAGAAATCGCTATTGTGCCGTTTAGCCCGTATATCGCCTCTCAAGCATTTCCTATATATGCTTACCGATGAGGGACCGTCTATTAGCCCAATACATTATCAGTTCTTTGTGTTTTCATATGACCAACCTGGACACACCTTCATGTCTGCCAATTCCTGGTACTCATTCAAGAGGCTGTACATCTCAAACTTACTTGCAAGATACTTCAACCGACGATATGCAACGCTCTTAGTTGGACCATCAGAAATAACCGAAAGAACATAATCGAGGTCCACGAAGTATTCGCGTATATTCGGTATATCGAACAACGGCTTTTGGTTTTCATCTGGACAACAAAGGATATAATAAATAGCTGAGTAGTTGAAAGGAATGGAAGATGGTGGACCTTTCGAGCTTTCGTAAACCTGATAAACGCCCTTGTCGTCAATCTCGAACGTCCAAGAGTCTGCGCCAGGAATCTTTGGACGTATAGAGTCAGAGTCGTCGTATTGCGTGGCGTGGCCATCTACATTGATCACTTTTTCTTTCTTTGACCAGTGCCAGTGAGGAGGTGGGGGTCTAGGGTATATATTCCACGGTTCAAATGGACTTTTAGAATCCTTCAACGTAGCATAGTCTGTATCTGCCCTAACGCCAGACACATCGGCCATACCCTCAGGAAGGCCGCCAAAGCGTCCATCATGGTCCTTTGGATTATCGCCAAGCCTCTGTAGCGATCTGGCTATGTATTTATCGCGCAGCTCAACACATTGCTGAAGCGATTGGTATATGCGCGCAAGTTCGGGTGTAATCGCGGTATCAACTAAAGAAAGATGCATTAGAGGGGCTAACGGTAGGGTAAATGTCGTGAAACTATCGCACTGTGTACTTGAGCTTCTGCTCTTTCCTCCCTCTCTTTGTCCTCGAAAAAAGGTGATGCATCAACATCGTTCATAGCTGGGAGAGTTTCTGGGATGGCAGACAGCTTAAGACTAGCTGCGTAGGGTGAAACACCACCGTCTGGATGGGGATCAGGCGATATACTGGGTGAGCCGAGGATGGATATGGGTTTCGAAGTATCAGACGTCCGCCGATGAGCCCAGTACTTCCCTTCGATCTAATCCATGTCCAAGACTGCATGAAGTACAATTTTACTTCAGTGCTAAAGATAACAAAACGTACGTGTTGAAGATTCTTTTCATCGTTGTAACCATAGAATCCATCCCTAGCTTCGGGTATCGTCAGTCCAGGACTGGGTGAGCATTCACTGACATCGCTTGTGGGCGTTTCGACAGACCTGACCTGTCCCATATCGTTGTTGTCTGAGGGCATCGTGGCTGGAAATACAAGTTTTAAGATACGTTTATATTTTCAAACCACAGGCAATGCGTGTAATATGAAAGTCACTCCCGAGTTCCATCCGAGCATTGTGGCGCAACTGTGGCACTGCCATCCCACTCTTTGGAAACAAAAAAGTTGCAGAATACACCTGAGCCTTTCTCTAAGCAAGCCCACCTTTCTCGTGAAAAGGATATTTCGGGTAAATTAGCTTTCTTTCTAATATCCCGTGGACTAGTCTCATGATCTCGTTGTGAAAGCTCAGATTGAAACATTAGCGACATTCGAAGTAAACGCTGAAAATATTTCAGGCGCCTGAAAAAATAAAAGTGATGATTTGTAAGCATGCTGTAGTTGGAAAGAAAATACGGCGCTTACAAAAAAAATTCCTTTGATAATGCCAATCTGTTGAACTCCGCTTCAACTTGGACCGTATTATGGAATGGACAGCAAATGACACAGGTTGTTTTCGTCCCCACGCTTGTGCCTCACCACTCCATGCATCGACAACCTTCGCGGCATTCAAGACCCCCTGTTGACGACGATGTAGACGATAACGACGAATTATCTGACAGTGATGTCGACAATAGGAACACCCAAGGTTCCCGCAAGTCTAGGCGACCAGGTATCAAGTGGACTGCTGACCGTACTGATCGTCTCCTAGACTGGCTGGAACAGAATGTCGAAAAGCGACATTTACTTTTCTCGGATTCTCAGGAAGATGCCACCAAGGAGAGTAGAAAGAAGGGACAGGCTAAGTCTAGCAAGGTGGTGTTACACGGGGAGCTTGCACAGTATGTATTTGGTGTGGAGAGTGATCCGACTATTTGTGCGACTCTCAAGTCTGACCCGGTGAGGTATACAAAGGCGGTCGATAACCACCTCTCTTCGTAAGTGTTATTTGTTGATCAGCTGAACCTAATATTTAGATAACGATTATTTATCCAGGCTGAAGAAAAAATACCGCCAGTCTTGTCAGGAGCTGGGCCGTACTGGAGCTGGTCTTACGTTTGAGCAACTAGAGAGGAACCCCGAGTATACGGGACCAATTGGTGCGTTTATACGTTAGTTCGTTCGATTTCTGCCTTCCTACATGTGTTTACCATACTACCAGGTGCAATCACGGCCAAGTTCAAAATGTTCCATCGTTTGCATGGCTTCTGGAGGAAGATCCCCAGCTACAACCCTTTCACAACGTCATCAGATGCAGGTCAGGATCATGAGGCACAGGCCTACAATCTTCTGTTCTCAAACACGCGCGGTGGGGGTCATACTAGCCACCATGATGCAAGCAATGTGGCCTCAGCCATGGCGTTGGATATCCCTGCACAGCAGCAGCAGCACTACCCGGTTGACACGCAGACAACGAGCCAATATAATCTGAACTACCACCCGCCGAATCAGCAACTCCATCAGCTTCACTCCATGCCTCAGTACGTTAACCATCGCAACAGCTCCCATGTGGACCCGAGCATGACGTCGTCCTCTGTATCGTCCATGCCTTATGGTGTTTCGTTAACGTCATTACCGTCTATGACAACTGACCCAAATTTCTTCGACTCGAATGCTTCCAGCCTTTTTCCTGGGGCTTATCATCAATCGTTATCTTCTCTGTTTCAGGACAACCACTCCATCTCTTCATTCGAGTCTCTTTTTTCTAAACTGCAGCATGATACACTGGGTCAGGGTCAAGGTCAGCCCGTACTCCCAATGTCTCCTTTACCCCAACCCCAATACCAGACATCTTCGATCTCTGGTGCTTTGGGGATGCCATTTCCCATGTCTCCCACCTTGGACAATGACAACTCTGGTTTCTCCGCAAACCAGTATCCGCCCTCTCCTACATCTAGTTTCTTTTCCGATCAACCACCTGCCTCCCCCGCATCTGGACGATCCAACTTTTTCTCAAACTTACCGCAGACTTCTACTCCGCCTCCTGCAACTTCGCCTCCTGTTTCTCCACCTATCCCTGCTTTGAAAAAAGGCAAACATCCTGCTACGTCTGTAAACATCAGAGACGCCCTTCGCAATCAGCTGGCTGCATCAGGCAAAGAAGCCGCCCAGGAGCAGCGTGTCACTACGAATAGGCGATCCACTACGAAGGATCAGCCAAGTAAGGACGAATCATTGCGTCCAGAAAAGGGAGACGACAAACCTCGTAAACGTCAGCGGTCCCAGTTAGAAGACAACATGTCTATGATGCAGCGGGTCATGGAGCCTGTCGCACAGGCCATGCAGGGAAAGACTAACCTTGAGCAGGAGAAACTCGTTGTGCAGGGAGGTAAAATGGCCGCAAAGAATGCGAAGTACACCGCAATTGCAGAGCGCGCACGCTTCGAAAATCGGAAGAGGGAGAAGGAGACTGTTGTCTTGCAACACGAACAGTTCAAGGAGAAGGTGACGTTGATTACCGAAGGCCAAATTAAAAGAGAACGTGAACAAAGACAACATGAAAAGGACATGTTGAGGATGAAGTTCGAACTTATCCAGGCTGTCAAGGACATCCCTGGTTTGGACAATCGCATTATCTCAACGCTTCTCATGGACAACTCCACCTCCCCTGTCCCTTCTTCCATCATCTCTGACCTCTTTGAACAGTCAATTGTTGGACCTGTTGCCTCCACTTCCACCTTGCCCTCATCCACGTTTGAACCAGGAGCGTCCATCGCAGAAAAGGAGTATAGCGGTGATGAACATGAGAATAGTGCTGATGGCAATGACGATTCGATGGTGATTGATGGGAGGATGATATAGACATTGACTTAACTTGCTATCTCTGCTTGCTATACTGTTGTGATGAACTTTTGTACTCGTGCTTTGTTTTATTTTACAAATGGAATTCAGTTTGTATGTCTGACTAGAAAGCTGACAATGAATTTAATCTACATACAGGTGACTCGAGAATAGTGCTAGCATTAGACGGTGGCGAAAGAGCTGTCCTTCAGGAATAGTGACACCATCAATAACACTCGGGGCAGCTGGCAACTCACCAACTACCGCAATATCATCAGGCACGTCCTCCGAAGGCTCACTCTGATCATCTACACCATCATGGTTGTTATGCCCACCCGGATCGGACCAGTTATCCGAGCTCTCGTCACCTTCAATCAGAATTACCAAGTTGTGGAGGATGAAGCACGACTTGAGCCACGTTACGGCCCATTCGTGCCGATCTTGCGAGCTAATTTGAATGCGGAGTTCGTGGAGTGATTGAAAACGGCCCTTAAGTAAGCCAATAGCGTGTTCGGAACGGATACGGATACGCGATAGATAGTAATTATAGTGGCGTTCACTCTGTGTGAGATTACCATTTGTGGGCCGCTTGAATGGCGCCATGCACCAATCTTGGATGGGATACGCTGAGTCAGCCCATATCCACTCTCCGGCATCCAGAAATAGCGCGTGATCACGGAAGATTTGTGTAGCTTCAAACGCGTAAGAGTCGTGCACACTGCCTGTGTGCCCCAGGGCGTAGTCAACGATCCGTAAGTTGTGAGGCAGGGTTACGAGCTAAAACAAAGAATTAGATAAAATGTATTAATAAGCAATTTTTGTACCTGAGCATTCATCGAATAGTTTGATGATCGATCGTACCAAGCCTCGCCAAAATGGCTCGGCTTTTGAAACAATGGGAATGTTGTCCCATCGACCGAAAGCCAGCCGTCACGCCATGATTCGCACACTTTTGATTGGACAAAAGCTTTGGCTTTTCGTTTTTCATCGTCTGTGGGACTGCACATAGCCATGTCATGCAAAGACATGAGCGCCAAGGCCACCCGCTTAGTGGACAGGACAACAGTGCCGACTGATACTCCTGCCCACTCGGCTACTTCATTACACGATGCCGCATTTCCATAGTGGCCAACGCGAACAAGGAATATTCCGAGCTGAAGGGCCGTGGGATACTGGGGGCTATTGGATGAATTATGAAATATTTGGTGATTTTCAATTAGTGTGACAATCGCATCAAAGGTCGTGGGACGTAAGCGTAGTTTACGCAAGAAATGGCCGAGATCATTATGGCGGGCCCACTCAAGTAAGCCTAGCTGAGGCTGCCGAAAAGCAGGGCTTTTGGGGAAAAAAATGCGTGTCTCCTCCACGGCGGTGTGGAGCATGATGTATAGTGCAGAGGTCAACTGCATGAAGCTGAACCTATCAATCAGCCATGGTTGCTCATCTTCTGAGGTAGTACTTTCGGCCTCTTCATCTGACTCGCCACCCGACTCACTAAGCGGCCCTACCGATTCCAAGTCGAGCTCTGCGCCAAAGTCCGATCCCACAGACTCGAGTCCCGCACGCGGTGAGCTGCTTAGCGACACCCCTACTGAGTCCGAATCGATCGACGAGTAACTCGTGCCAGATCGATCAGATGGCACGTCCTCAGCAGCGAGAGTGTCGACAATGGTCTGCAGTGTTCGGTTTTGTGCACTGACATAGATGTCATCGAGAATTTCCAAGTGCTGATCACGGATGGAGGCACGGTTTCTACTCATAATGACAGTATTATAGAGTCGAGATTTGGGGGATCAGATTTGATTATGAGTCTCTTTCTTATATACTAACTAGTTATTCTGAGTTGAAACTCGATATTTCTTGATTTCGATATCTTATCAGTTTGCACATATTTTTTTTCAACTACAGCATGCTTACAAATCATCACTTTTATTTTTTCAGGCGCCTGAAATATTTTCAGCGTTTACTTCGAATGTCGCTATTTTCTGACTGTTCAGTCCTCAGAATCTTGTAGATGAATCACGACACGAAGTCCGCCGAACACCGCAAGGACGTGAACAGGAGCTCCTTGATGTCGAGCACCAAGTTGATGCACTTCTCGCAAGAAAATAATGAATTAGAAGACGGTGTATTTGCGCTGTGCCCGTAGAATTGCTACAGAACATATCTGTCCTTTCCTTGCCTGCTGAGCGCCCAGAACCAAGCGTGGTCCAAGCGCCACTTTTCCTTACCTAAGTGTGTCGCCGTTGGCGAGCAGTCACGCCCGAGCTCTGGTCATCCATTGGTATCTCTTCTCGTCATCGCAACGATTACGATGTACCGTCCTTCATAGCTATGTTGAAGCTTTGGCTCGAGCGCTCCCGTAACCTCCCCCTGAAAATCGAGATTTACAGCGACCCAGATGCTGACTGTCTGATGATATTCCATGCTCTCGAGATATTGAAACATCACGCCTAATCTTCGCAAGCTCATGTTCTGCGGCATGCTCTTTGGCAGGAGTTTACTGCGAAATTTTGTCGGTTTTGTATTCGGTCAGGTTAAGCATCTGACTGATCTGACCCTTAACCGCCTCAGGATATCCGTAACAGATGCCTATCTATGTATTGATTCATAGCGAAAAACTCGATCACGTAGATTTTCGCCTGCACGACGGTCCGGCACCTCTTGGTCTAGGACGTATCACGCATACCCTAAGGGGCATTCAAGTCATCTCCCCCAGTTGGCCTACTTTTATCGACAGATTGACTCTGCCATCTCCCCGCTCACTATCAGTGTATAATCGAGGTATAGATAAGGATTACTTTTTCAAGATCATCTCTACGATGGTGAACCGGTCTGAGTGTTCTATGGATATGCTAAATACTATGTATATTATAGTTGTCAAAGTTAATGTCGCTGTTCATACGTCTGCATGTAGAGCACTGGGGTAATATTGGTCATCGTTCTGTTTGCAAAGTTGTGTGACGCTTGCCATCGCTGTAGCGTTTGTTTTCTTCTCAGATAGGAGTGCACAATAGAAATCGTATGAGATGACCTCTTCCAAAATCCAATAATCATTACCAACGGCACTGACATCGGATAGTAAGAGCCAATACTTAGTCTCATCCTAGGTGTGATTAGATGGCTTGGAAGCTAGAGTGGATATGGCACCGACTGTACTTACATCGTGTGTTCTTCAACCCATTTGATTATCTTGAAACTTTGGCTGAATCCCTATTTCATAATATTATAGTCTCCTATAAGCACACTTCCGAAGAATAATATCATGATACCTGCATCGTAATGTTGAGATAGATCAGCAAGCTGAGCGTGCGTTTGTATGACCCTGCATGCTGCTCTATTTTTGAAATGCTCTGGATAGACATGACCTATGGCGAAGGCCACGTAGCCCGCTCAAACCGCTCCGCCTTTGCCAACTCGCAAGAAATCAGCGAGTGATTCCGATATTGCTAGGCCATATACTGTGAGCGGAATGTTTGAATGTTCAGGCTTTACCTGTTTTTCTCTTCCAACTAGTGTCCGCTTAATCAGTAGCTCCGATAGACTGCGGCGAGATTGTATTGTTGTAAGTGTGCTTGGACGTTGAGGCCCAAGTTGCTTCTCCTCTCCAGAAAGGGCTCGCTGGTACAGATATTCTGCCTTGCCGTACTGTTTCTGTGATTGATAAACCCCTGTCAAATTGTTCACAGTCGATAGCGTTCGTATATCTTCAATTTCCGTGGCACTTTCCCTTGCCTTTCAGTGCGCAAAGATACAGTTTCTCCGCCTGGTCGTGTCGTCCTTGCAGCTCACATCACAAAGCCAAACTGTAAACCGCCGATAGCGTCGTAGGGTGTCCGTCTCCTAGTTCCTTTCCTAGTCCTTCGAGTGTTCGCCTTATGTAATACTTCAGCATCACGGTACCGTCCTTGCAGTTCGTGTAGCCAGGCTAGATTGTGTACCGTAACCAATGTCTTCCGGTGCTTGTCCCTGAGTGCTTGTCCCTGCCTACGAGCGTCCTTTCATATAAACTTTCCGCATCTTTGCAGCAGGCTGATTCCTGATAGTTTGTGCACTACAAATAGTGTTTCTACATTCCTGTCCCATGCACTCCTCTATGCCGGTGAGTACCTATCGAAATAGTTTCTTCTCTTTGTATCTTCCTCGACTTTCCAGATACTGCGACATATTTACGTCCGCACAAGTAAGCAGTCCCCTGTTGCTACACGCAAATTGGTGAGTGAGTGGATATGGGGGATGAAGAGCTCGCATTGGACTCAACTTTGTGGTGAACTGAACATCTCGCTGTTCTGCAAGGCTCCACAAATTATCTCGACAGCACCGTCGAACCAGAGATCAGCGGTGCCGCCTCCCTTTGCACACTCCTGTACGGTGAGTCGGATCCAGTCATGAATATGTAGTGTTGTAGTATTATTGCTATTTTGGAGTCGCGCCAAAGACGCATGTACTAGTTGCTGTGCAAGTTTATGACGTTCTAATTGCGAGAAAATGTTGATAGCGAGAGACTGGAGTATAGGCTTCATCCTCAATGATTTTCAGCAAGGAATTAACCTGCACTTTAGTAGCGTTTGAGTTCTGCGATAGCTGACTCCACCTCCTGAACAGAGTCGTATGACATCGACTGTGGAGATTTTTCCAGCATCTTTTTTGCTCCCTCGACAAGGACCTGATTAACTGGTATACTTTCCGGGTCCAAGATGAAAGCAACTTCAGAAAGTTGGGAGACAGATATTGATTCTGAGAGATGAAGGTCGCTGTCACCGACATTTGCTGGTATATAGATAAGTCGTTTTCCCATATGAGTATCTTTTCAAATATACATGATAAGCTATTATAGCGTGGTGGAAAAGTCAGAAAAACCTGGGTTTTCAACTCCGAATTTTTGTATATTTGCAATGGCTGAACAATGCTCTGCTTTGATTGCTTCATGAACGCAGCTGCCTGAACTATAGCCAGCGGCAGTCGCCCTACAATACCCACGAGCCGTTTGACGGAGGCGGAAGATGTAACGTCCGTCATATCTATATCCGCGTCAAATAACAGTGTTGTGGCATCTTCTAAGTCAGCGACATGAAGCTCGAGGATTGCGTCTCGCTGCCTTGTCAAGTTCGATACGGCCTTCGCCACATCTTCCGTATGAATACTGTACAGAATACGACCTTGAGAATTCTTCCGAGGTATATGCTCCCGAAGAAAGCCGATTGCGTCCCTTGCGATATCGTCAACGAGCCAGGTGACAGATGATGCATCTTCTAACCAGCAGCTGCAGCGGTCAACTTCACTTCCTGCTCCGAACGGTGTCGCTCGCGATGTGCGACGAGTCCGAGAACCTTCGAGAAACCCTGATTGAGCTTCTCTACCGAAGAATTGGAGACCAAAAAAACTTATATCGCTTTCGGAGAAACGTTGATTTTGTGTATTAGGAGCTAGCTGTGTCACTGCAAGCCCAGGCATACCATGTATGACGCACCAAGCTGGTGAATCCAAATCCTCGTGCGTTGCATCGAGGATTTTTTGGATGATCCCCAGTTCTTTGCCTCTTTCGATAAAAGAAGCAAGAGGATTCACTGGAGGCCATCGTTAAGACCAGTGTGGTACACCCTTCGGTTGGCGTATTGTGCCAGTGGTTATTGGTAATTGTCGTCGTGAATTGGTTTCCATCAACTGGTCATTAACATGACTGAAGAATCCTATTTCTGGCGTCAAAAAACCGAGCGCACGAAACAATATTCAGGACAAGAGAAGAGATAAACTAGGTGCGCTTAAACTGACGGCGTAAATGAATGCTTCGTGCGTGAGGCGTGGCAATTATACTAAGCACCACAATTCGGGTGACCGAACAGAGCGGAAAAACTTGCGGAAAACACATGTAGATGTCCTTCGTACCAAATTCGAACATTCATCCGCGGTTTCGGGACAAATTGCCCTCAAGAATAAATCTTCCATAGATAAGCAAGAATACGCGCTACCTCGAGGTTCAAGCAATGTCTAGAATGAAAGCGAGCCTCTCATTTCTGAGAGCTCCGAGTAAACATTAATATGGACCATTACGGTGTTCTGCTCACCAAAATATAGTAGACGCCCACTGATATATAAAATTGCTAGACATAGTTGTGAATGCCTCTTACCGCATATACAGCTGTCTCGATGCTGTACTGTGTGATCCTCTTGGCGTTTGAAGCTGTCCTCCAGAATGATTGTGATTAAGGCTGCCATCGTTGCGTGAAGGAAGAGGACGGGCGCCACCAGAGCCAAACAGCGCCAACATCAACTTAATCATCTCATTTACCTAATTAATTTAAACTCCAACAAATAGGAAAATTAACTCAATTATTCTATCTTTACGTCTATCAGGTTGAGCTCGTCGACCCACACAACGACAAAGACTTTTTTGGTCAACGACGAACGCAACGACGGCCGCACGAAGACTACTGTTGTCTGCGATGGGGAACACCACCTCGAATACTAATCACAACCGACCAGCCCCCATACCCAGCCGGCGCGTGGACTCGCCTTCTCGCCATGCGGCACAGCGACGAGCACAATCGCCGTCGCCGAGCTCATCGAGCCCCAACCAGCCCCATCGGTCTCTGAGAACAAAGAAAAAATCCCTTGAATTGCCAGACCTGGCGTCTTTGTCGCTCACACCAGCGTCGTCGCACCACAATTCCAGTAACTCATCCCCCCTTTCTCATTACCGCCGTCCTCCACGAACATCATCGCCGATTCCAATCCCAATTCCAGTATCTAACACGGCACAAATAAATAATGCTTCTAATACTGGAACTTCTCCCCGTGGGAGACCACTCAATGTTAAAAACACAGCTGATAACAGTAATCGCGTCAACAACAACAATTATTCTGCAGATGTTCTTTTGGATCAGCCACCGTCGACACATATCCCCGTGCACCACCACCACCGTGGTCGTGGAAACCCTTACTTCCGCGGGGCACCCCTCCAGTACAGCTCCACCCATTCTTTCACCACCCGTGGCCACTCCTCTTCACGACAGCCACAGCAGTCACGTATGCAAGAGATCTACCCCGATCACGGGCAAGAACACGACGACCACCAAATCCAACCAGTATTTCTACCCGAAACGGTCCATTCTACCATCCCCATCGCTCTCATAAAGGCAGAAGAGGAGATCGCAGCCCTCGCCGACGCTGAGCCTGGCCTTGACGAGAACGGGCAACCAGTCCCAAAACGTGCTGGTACCACTACCCCAAAGCCATTCGAAGAGCCCAAAGAGCCGGTCAACGTCAAGATCACATGGAGAGGGGGTGGCAAGAATGTTGTGCTCGCTCGCGCAGGAGATAACAACTGGAAAGGAAGGGTCCCGATGGAACCAGAGTACGCCATCTTCTTTTCTCTTTTTGGCCTGTCACTCACACCATCGTATCTAGTGATCCACCGGTTGATACCACCTGGACGACCTGGGTGTCACTCATGCCAGGAACCCATCATATTCGTTTTATCGTCGATGACCAGTGGCGGGTTGCTGACGATCTCCCGACTGCAGTTGACGACGAAGGAAGTTTGGCCAACTACGTTGCAGTGCCGATCTCAGGCTTCACCCCACCATCGGCATCTGCTGCACAAGTTCAAGTCAATATATCCCTCCCCAGTTCACCTCCTGCGTTTGTTCCCGCTGTTTCACAAACGCCGGGAAAACAATATGCAGCTCACGCACATTCGTTCTGGTCTACGACCACCTCATCTGCGCAAGGTTCTGTTACTGATGCGCCTTCTAATGATGCATCAGGAGATGGGGGTTGGACGCAAGAACTACCTGCTGCGTTAATCGCAGCGGCAAGAGAAGAAGAAGCCTACCTTGCGTATACCGCTGCGTCGGAATATGATCAACATGGGGATTATCAAGGATACTCTGGTGGATATGGCGGGGGGAAAGAGGTGCCAGCACCAAACATTCCACCTGCCCCTGTCCTCCCACGCCACCTTGACAAGCTGATCTTGAATGTCAAAGTTGGACAGGTGACAAGGGGGCGTGAGCGGGAGAGAGAAAGGGAGAGGGAGGCTCGCGAAAGAGAGCGCGAGAGGGAGAGAGAGGGGAGAAGGAAGCAAGGGAGGAGTTTGCTTGGGATGACTAGTACAGTCGCAAATTCCTTAAGTAACCCACAGCCGACGAGCGATGCTCCAGCTCTTCCGATAACGACGGCTTCTGGAACAGACGTCACCACTGCACACCTCACTTCAGGTGCAGCACATACCCAGTCAAACTCGGCCTCTACGCATACGAGATTAGGGCTTGACGGCCCTGGGTTAGCTGATGATGCGAGTGTGTTGCCAGTTCCATCGCATGTCGTTCTGCACCATTTAAGTACGAGTGCGATCCGAAACGGTGTTCTTGCGGTGGGGAACACAACAAGGTATCGAAAGAAGGTGAGTATTTACATATGTTCCATTTTATGGACCAGAAACTTGATGAAGAGCTTCAATTAACTGATCCCTTTCTATGTAGTACCTCACGACAATATACTACAAACCGACGTGAGCGTTGCCGCCGAGCCCTCTACCCTGCACCGAATATCTACCTCCGAACTCTTGGCTATACATTCGGACATACTCAACTGTTAACTACACCAACAACTCGAACACGAAATGACTCTTACACATTCACCCATCTCCAAATATGAAGTACGACGGACCGAACGTTGCCAGTAACTTACCGGGGTAATCGGCCAGAAGACGAAGGCTGACCGTATCTATGCCATCTACCACTTTTCTATTACGAGTTTTCAACGATCTCGTCGCCTTGCTCGGCTCTATCGAGGAGAATGTACCATAGAAGGGGCCGGTGTTGCATGACGATAGCGATCACAGGGGCCAACTAGAGCTAGAGTTCTGTACAACCAGTGGCGAAAAGTCTTGTCCATATCAGCAAAATACGCAAAGCCGACATATCCTCATTTGCTCCATGTCGTGGCTCCATTCTGATACGACCACTGCTCCAAAACTGCCATTGTATCCTTAAGTATGAAATCCAAAATACCCATTGCTGTCGGTCGTCTTTTCTCGCCAATCCTTCGAGTACCAGACGTACTTTCCCCCTATCCCTAAGATTAGCTGTGCTGTCCTTCCATGGTCTATGCTTAGTCTTTTCGGTGTATAACGTTCGTTGTTGTCACTCTGTTTTTACCATTCTATATTTTTTTTCTTTCCGCTTTTGCGATGTTATTTATGACGTCCTTCGGGATATATAGATGCGTACTTGTCATGTTGTTACAGCTTTTTGCACTGGATGTATGTTGTGCTGACAGGTTCCTCAGTTTATTGTTCCCACCTGTTCTCTTTTTTCTTATGACTGGGCACCTTCACTTCAATATGCTACAGATCTCATCACTGTTACCTACATCCTCTAGATGACTCAATCACTCAGACTTGTATTTTGCTTAGTACTCGAAGACATGATCGTGGAATCCCGTATGTAAGGCTATCGCGATGAGAACCTTCGGAGTCCGAGGACAAACCTTGACGATGGTCAAATATAATACTTGATATATTGCGTACAAAGCTTTGGTTGATTGCGTCAAATATACAAGGGGGGTCGCAAACCCTCATACATCCTCTCGAAGGAAAGATCTCGATGTTCTTCTACATTACATCAAGAACTAAAAACGTTGGTATTTAGGCGTGCAGCGGGTACAGTGAGACAACAAGGAAAGGGAGATGAGCCGACAAATCGTACAGTGCTTCGAGGCGAGACGTAAAAGATTTACACGATAGAGGAAAATGGATGAAGCGTCAGGAGCCAGCTCAGAATGTGTTCGCCCACGCCTCGAGGTCAAATGTTGACTCCCGAGCAAGGTCTATCCATGAATGTTTCTGGAGAGAGAGAAGAGAGAAAAAAAAAAAGGAATATATCATCAGGTGGTTTTTGGTAGCCATGTATGAGGACCCACCAGTAAATCTTTTGGTGTTTTCCTTGCGTCTGGGTCCTTCAGCAAACAACTATCTACGAAATCCTCCGCGTTTTTTGGGAATCTGCCTTCAGGTGTCAACCGTGGCGCCGGCTCGTTGACAATATGCTGTAATAGTTCCAGGATACTCATCATCCTCCCACCACCTTGTAAACTGACACCCTTGCTCTTCCTTCGGTCCTTCTTGGAATCTTTCTTCGGTGGCGCAGGCGGTAGCCCTACTGTTCCAGGCGAAAGTGTTCCTTCAAAGTCAGATAGGTCGGAGTCATCCGGATCCGACTCTGAGAAAGGAAATCTGCCCAAGGCGAGCTCAATCAACGATATCCCAAGGGACCACACGTCAGATTTGACAGTATATTGAGCGCCTTGTATACGCTCAGGCTGATGACAGCATATCAAATTAGTAAAAGAATCACAACAAAAGCGGCGAAGTGAGACTGACGCTCATGTATGTCGATGTACCTACGAATGTATCAGCAATCGAATTGATGAGTTCCCCTGAAACGCCAAAATCGCAGATCTTGATGTGCCCTTGTGAATTGCACAGGATATTGGATGGCTTGATATCTAACGCGTCCGGTTTAAGGGTGAGCACATAACTGCACTAGGGCGTCCGCAGGCCGCGTCCTTTACTTACCACGGTGAATGATACGGTGAACATCGTATAGGTATGTCAAACCTTCCAAGACGGCAAGTGCGACTTTGCCAACAACCTCGATATCAATAGCCCCGATTTTCTTGTATATCCCGTCCAAAGAGCCTTTGTCCATATACTCCATGCAGATACAAATATTGGGGTCCGAAAGGAATGCACCGTAAAATGAGATGATGTACTTGGAATGACAGTCGTGCATGATGTGCAATTCACGGAGAATCTGCTTTCGTACGGATGGTTTTGCATCGATAAGGACAATCTAGTTTGAATGTCATGAAATCAGTGAATAGATTATGGACTGAAGGCATGGCTTATCGCACCTTCTTTGCCATGATCATGCCTGTGGGAGTGTGTTCAACTTTTTTGACACTTCCTCCATTTCCTTGGCCCAGCTCCCTCAAGTCCTTCAGATCTTCATTTCTAAGGTCGTACCGTGTCTCTGCATTCATGTCGAGGTTCGCCAATGTGTTGGAGAGTGTGGTGTGGTAGGTCATTCTCCGTGCAGACACAGAGCCTGTGGCAGGTGCAGAGCTGGGGCCGTTTGCGACGGTCATCATGCTGCCATCGTTGTCGACGTTTAGGTTTGTCGCTGCCGGCTGTATCTTTGGGGCTGCGAGAGTCATTGGGGGAGGACGTTTCTTGCCCCCCGTTGTCGTTGTCGTGGGTGCGAGCCTTGTGGGCTTTGGATCTGGTATCGGCTCCGGTACTTTTGCAGACTGGGCGACATCGAGCTGAAGGGCCTTGAAGTTGCGTTTCTTGCGGATGGGAGTGGACATGGAGGTTTAAAGCAAGGAAGGTCAGACGCTAGCAAGGACGGGGAATGGATGGATATGTGTCTGAGCTGATAGCCGCAAGGATAGCCGTCGTATTTATTATAATTTATTCGAGAATTCCACCAAACTCGCAAAAATGCGAGTTGGTGCTTAAGTAAGCAAATGCTGTATTCAATTCTCCCTTTTCTTATCCCGTAATCCTGCCATGTTCTGTCGCATTGTTCAGCTGAGTCGAACGTTGGGAGTGGGAAAATACCTGCGGCACACGTCCTTTGAACCGCTGAAAAATCGCTTTTTCTTTGCCTTCAAATCTCACTCTCAGTGTATGTTGTTATGCCCCCATCGTAACTATCATCAACCTTTGTTGGACTTTCTCAAGGTCTGGCACCTCGCAGCTTCCCTTTCAGATTTGCACCTCAAATAATCTTGTAAAAATATCAAGCTCATCGTCAGGAGTGTTAAGGTTATCCATATATACGTCGAACATGAATATCCATCTCTGGGCCAACTGTCAGGTCCTGGTTCTGCCACGAAGCAGACGTCGAACGAATGATCTCGTGTGCGGTTCGCACGTTTTACGCGTTAGACTGTTTTCTGTCTAAAGCGTTGACGTCCTCCTTTGAAGTTCTTCTGACTCGACTACAACTCTACAATAAGGTACCCTCATTGGCTCCCCTATCTGTAAGCAGCACAAGCATTTAACTCAAGTGTGTGCGATGCTGCCTTTATCCATCATCCTTTTCGGCGGCCCGCACTGCGGCCAATAGCGGCAATAAATCGACAACGGACACTGCTCACAATCTTGGCCATCCACTTCAAATATTTCTTTTGAAGGTCTGTATCTTGATAAACATGGATATCCTCGGGCTGGATGTCGCAGCATATCCATAACCCTGTGTTCAAAACGCGGTACATCTGAAGCGCCGAGAGAGGTTACTTTCTACATTTATCGGTTTACACACGCCGCCTATCCGATAACTAACCTTGGCTGTGTCCGTGTCGGTCTATATGACGGCGTTCTAGCGGCGCCCCAGGTGGTCCACCGAGGCTCACCTCACTTCAATTGGGTCCCGACAGCCAAACGTTCGCAGATGGGTCACACACACCCATCATGAATCTGATGCCCATTGGTTGCTGATCGGAAAAACACTCTACTTTTTACAAATGACACCAAGATTTAAGCCTCGGTAGCTAAGGAGATGATGGGTCATCGTCCTGTCGTTAGCAACTTGAAGACCCAGTCTACGCTTGTGAATCTCCCGCTCACCGATCAACGGGCCCATCGAATCGAGGTTCTCAGTCTCGTTATAGGAACAGTATGATAGTTGTAAAACATCACACTTCATTGGTTCACGCTATTTGAGTGAGAATTGTTGATAAATGAATGAGGACCTGCAAGAAATCTTCGACTTCTTGGTTTGATAGGCGCCTGGTAGATAGTGAAAATGTTATTCGCGGAACATGAATTTCATTATCCGACACAGCATCCACCTATGAGTGTACACCGCCAGCCAACAGTCAGAGCCTAAGTTTGTTCATGTACAAACGAATGTCCCTTACGAGTCGGTTCAGTTGTATTTTGATGACTTATATTGATTTTGCTCATAGTCATACTTGAATAGTCTTCTACCATGCTGCTCTGGTGGGCACCTCGCTCGTCGTTGGCTACAGCATAGGATCGCGGTTCGGGTCCCACCCACCATCACCTCAACTTGGACCTACCGTTTCAGCCGCTGAACAAAATTTGCAAAACACCAAAGAGGATAGCAAGGAGGCTGAGAATGATGACGAGGATGAAGATATTGCAGATGGGGACTTAATGGCCGTGAAACCAGGTCTCATGCAGCCTTGTAAACTGGTGCGTCTCCCCGGGTCTACTATACACAACTGTAAGGACTCGATGTGATCAGTTGTCATAGGTACTAGTAGTCCGAACCGATCTAAAGATGAAATCAGGGAAAATTGCTGCGCAGTGAGTTTACTTATCGCCTTTTACTGTGAGACTGACATGAAGTGTAACATGCTATTTTGTATTTTGAAGATGCGGGTAAGGAGCATCACAAAATTCCGCGGATCTGATCTGACCTAAGTCATCTGATTTATAGACATGCTACACTAGCTTGCTACAAAGCACTGGCAAAAAAGAATCCCCAGGTTAGAAAACTTTTTTTCTTCTCGATATTTCATCTTTATTCATTTATGGTGACCACTGTAGCTGTTACAACACTGGGAGTACACTGGGTGCGTAATCATTTATACAGTGCCCTACTTGATTACTGATATGTTGAATTTACGACAGTCAAGCCAAAATAGCACTGAAGGCATCTTCAGAAGATGAATTACTTGAGCTTGAGGCTATCGCAAAAAGTCTGAACTTGTGTGCACGGTCAATACAAGACGCGTAAGCTTTTCTATCTCATTTTCGACAACTTTGTTCACTGTTATTTCTTTTCGTGACAGTGGTCGGACTCAGATTGCAGCTGGGTCTCGTACAGTTCTCGGAATTGGCCCTGGTAAGTGCTATAAGGTTTTATTTTCCAACTGAAGACTGACGCGGTCTGTTTAAGCTCCTGTTGAGCTTATAAATGAAGTTACAGGTCATCTACGTCTTTTGTGATCGTCGCAGAAGTCTCGCTTTTCCCCTAGGGAGTTGACTAGATATTACACCCATCTTATTGAGCACTTTTGCAATCACTAGTTTTACTCATTAGATGTGCTTCTCACACTCCATAGACCTGCCGAGTTCACGATGCCGAGCTGCCGAGATTGTTGTGGCAAGAGACTAGATGTCCATTTTTGTCCAAGATTTTGTGCTCGTCCATATGAATGATTGTACCTCAAACGGATCTCCGTCTTTTCGTCAAAATCTTCAAAATCTTTCCCGGTATAGGGGATCGTCCGAAAAATCAGTTCTCACTTTGGCCGGCGGAAGATGCCGTTGTCACCTTCGAGTCATATCCTGACTCTAGTTTATACACAAAATATATTACAAGTTTTTGACATATGCAGTCTGCCAGTGTGTTGCAAATGTCTTCAATGCAATCTACTGATACAATCGAACTTGCTACACGCGTGCCCTTGCCTTCTTCCTCGTCGACATTGTCTTTTGCACAGGAGTCAGCTGCAGAAGAAGAAGACGTTAATATCAGAAATGAATCATCGCTCGCTCCTGTAGATAAGGGGTTCGGCGCTTGGTCTTTCGTATGTCATGTTTTCATCGATAAAACATCTATCGAATGCCTAGCTGAATTTTAAAATATACTTAGTTGGCTGGGGCCTTCTTCGTGGAGACCATCGTCTGGGGATTCCCTACTGCATACGGAACGTTTCTCAGCGCGTATCTAAGTAACCCGCAATATGCATCGCAACCCCATGCATCTTCTCTTCTCCCGCTTGTTGGTCCCCTTTCCTCGGGCATTATATATTGCTCAGGTGTGTAACTTATTGGGGTGCCCCTGTATGTGCTGGTATTTACGTATCTCAGGTCCAATAATATATCCTTTCACTGCTCGGTATCCATACCACCGGCGAACATGCATGTGGATAGGCACTCTAATCTGTTTCCTAAGCCTATTAGGTGCCAGTTATGCTACGAAAGTAAGTATGCTCACTGTTTAATGTTTCAGATTATTCCTTACGCTCCATCCTAGGTTATAGATTTGGTTATTTTACAAGGCTTCCTATATGCTGTGGGAGGGTGTAAGTATAGTCCAACTATATGTTGTGCACACATGTTGACATTTAAATAGCCTTGCTATATGCGCCTTGCATCTCTTATATGTCAGAGTGGTTCGTAAAACGCAGAGGAATGGCAAATGGTGTAATTTTTGCCGGTATATCCTGATCCGTTTATTCGTCGAAGTAATGCTTACGTTGAATCAAAGGCACTGCTACAGGAGGTCTAATCCTACCTCTCGTCCTTCCGACTTTGCTCAATTCCTTCGGCCCAGCAAAAGCTTTGAGGATCCTCTCCGTGGTCCTTATCGGCTCCCTTATGCCTTTCTTGCCCTTCATCAAAGGTCGCTTGCCTGAATCGCGTATACATGGTCCTCGGGCTAAATCAGACAAGTCTTGGATGACGAGTGTATCTTTCTGGGTCATAATTTCAGCGAACACGGTACAGGGCTTTGGATACTTTGTTCCCATCGTTTGGCTGCCAAGTTTGTGCCTCTTTTATTTGTTCCTTTCCCCCCTTTTTTTCTGAACGTCATTACACGGGCTTTTTACTGTCCAGCTTTTGCTAGTGCCCTCAATCTCAGCAGCACAAACTCTTCCGTCACTCTCGCCATTCTTAATGGTAAGTATCTCAGAGGATTATCTAGGTCTCATCACTACTTACAATCGTCTGTTCACGAACCAGGTGCTTCGGTGGTCGGTCGTCTTGGACTGGGCTTCTTGTCCGACAAATACGATCCCTGGCTACTCGCGCTTTCCAGCCTAACTCTCACATCACTCACAACATTCGTTCTCTGGGGTGTCCTGTCCAACACATTCGCAGGCCTTATTGCATTTGGTATCGCGTATGGGACCCTCGCCGGAGGGTGGACGTCGCTCTGGACCGGCTTTGTAAAACCTTTCGCCAGTAAGTAGTATTTCTTACGCCCATAAGTCAGATTCGGAGAGGCTAATCGGTGGCTTAGAGGACGATCCGGGCCTTTCGACTTCTCTCTTCGGATACTTTTTGCTATCTAGAGGCCTTGGAAATGTCCTCTCAACCCCTATCTCGACCTCCCTTTTCAACGGTAACGTCACCAACTTCGACCACCAAAAAAACGGATTCAATGTAGGCGGTGGAAAATTCGAGAAGATGATTGTTTACGCTGGAACATGTTTCGCCGGTGCTGCTTTGATTGCTGTTACTGGTTGGGGAGTGGAAAAGATGAAAAAGAGGAGATAATTTACTATGTTTCTTATTGCAGCAATTGCTATATGATGGTAACCACTGCTTACGCCAGTAGTAAGCCATGCCACAGCACCATATATTTTCTCCACAAGCAGATTATATCTATTTTGTGGTTAGAGTATACTACGTGAAAGCTAACATGCAACTATGGACAGTCTGTACAAAAAATGTGACAAATACTGAGGGCGACCGGTCCCTTTTCATAGCGCCATACCTGTTGGCTCCTCCGCAGGCATATGGTCCTTGGTATGTACCTCTTCGAGATCGACATGAACATGTGCCCCCTCCTCATCATGTTCAGGTAGTTCGGTAACTGTAGTCACAGCCGTAAACGACTGACTGTGAGAGAACGACGTTTCTGACACGGGAGATTGTACCGGAGTCGCGATGGGTGTGGTAGACGCAAAGCTAGTGACACTGCCCCGCTGAGAAAACCTTGCGGCCCTCGTCGACCAAAATGACTGTATACCAGCTCCCCATGCTCCCAACGCAGCCTTCGTCTCTGAGGCAGCCTGCGTAACGCTGACAGGTCGCGTTCCGCCTCCACTGCCACTCGACTCTCTGGACGTCTGCCGCTTCATGTCAACCACAGTTTCCTGTGTAGGGAAATCGGCATCTGATTTGGATATAACGACAGGAGTAACTGGGGTGCTGGGAACACTGGAAATATCTGAGGTAGAGACCGAGCTCGGGGTGCGTTGCCCCCATCGGCCTTTGACACCTTCCACAGCTTTGAAGAAATTTGTCGACCCAGCGGTCAGGGTTCGCGAAATGGCTTCACGGGTAGGTGCTAGCTGCTGATCCAACTTTAACTCCTGTATACCCTCTGAGAGTCGAAGTCCGATGTCTGCAACAACAGAAGGTTTCTCGTTACAGGGATGTCTAAAAGGAAGACTTCCAGTTGCAGATACTATTTGATAAAATCAAAAGACAAAACTGACCTTGGTTCCACGATGTCAAACAGCATAGGATCTGTCGTTCTGTCCCATACTTGATAGGCATTCGTTTTCATGAACTCGGTGATCCATAAAGGATTGAAATCCTCGATGGAATTGACATCTAAAATGACAGGTCAGGTGGTTTGGTGCGTTATATAACAGTAATGCTACCTGGTCCCCCTGCTATAATGACGCCACCGCCCTTTCCTTTGATTAGAAACTCCCGATATCGCACAGAAGCCAAGGCCGCAAAGATATACTCCTCGAACTTGTAAGGTCACAGATTAGCCATAACACAACCCTTTGCTATAGAGTCATCTCCTTACTTTGGCTCTAAGATAGTCATCACTACCCTTGAAACTGCACAAAGATATGTCAAAAGTATATCTACAACGTGACGAGAAACTTACTGTATTCCAGTTGGACTGGTAGCTTCACTTTCGCTCCACCCTTCATTAACATCCCTCACTATTTCATCCATCCATTTTCTATCTGCAGCAGTCAAGCCAGCTACTCGTTCCAGTCGAGGGTCACGAAACTCCAGCGTGGCATTTTCCGTCTATAGCATATAATATGTTCAAATCCCGTCTCGTAACTGCAGCGGTTTCGAAAGAAACGACTTACGTTGATAAGAAGTTCGATTTCTTTTTGCTGAGTTACGATTGAGTTGGTGCTCCCACATAGCCAGCTTTGCGAGTCCTTGAGCAGATCAATCTGCTGGAGAGGTAAGTACGGCTGGAAAAATGCATCCTGCAGAAGAAGACATCAGGTGGTGTTCGAGTGGGATGAATAGAGCCTAGTGCATGCCTTGCCGAAGACATCCAATGGGAGTCCCATGTATGCCATCATACTTTTTCGGTCGGATGTTCGCAGAGAAGAGGGCCGGCTTAGTGTAGGAGCGCGCGATGCTAAAGGCGGAGAGCCACAATCATCGAGCGTCTGCAGTAGGCCTTATGTGATCGGAAAAATCAGCGATGTATAATAGACGACGGTAATATGCGCACGTACCCGGTATAAGGGATATTAAGGAGTATTGATAATTACACAAGCGCTCTACAGGATGGCCAAAAAATATGATCTAGTTATCTTTAGTATGCACAGCTCGGTGTGGATGAAAAGAGAAAACTTACCTTCTTCTGAAGGATGAGAGCTTTGACTAGAACAAGCGTTCGATGGCGGAATGTGTGTACGAAATCCCGTCTATAATGACACATGAGTTATTGGTCTGATGTTATCGAATGATCTACTTACAGACTTGTGCCTGAATTATGGGATCGGTATATGCTCAGCAACTTTGAAGCATGCACCTTGGGACTCACCCATGTAAAGGCCACTTTCAGTAAGTTGTGTGCGCAATGAAGTTTCAAGAGAAGAGATAAAATCGACTAGAATATTAGTCTCCCGAAAATCCCTACATATAACATTATCAGGCACCATAGCTAAGTCATTTCCGAGTAAAGGTCAAGTACCTTTGATTGAATAAAGCCCGAGTCACGACGCCCAACTTATCACTACAAACGAGTGGGTTATGCGAAGGTCGACTATTGAAAAACGTGTCCGCTTACCGTATTGGACCAAAGACTGGCCTCGATACTAGTACTACAACAGCTTTCTGTACAATTGACCGAGTGACATCGGCATCTTTTACCAGGAGAGTAGACGCCGGTATTTGTCGATTGCATCTAATGGACAATGTATCAGATCAGCTTCTTGTCGTATCTTACTTCTGACGTACGATATCCCAAAAATTGTGCTAGGATTTGGTGATGAGGGTACTAAATGAAAGTAGGAATAGTCTTCAAGTGACTGAATGCGCAGTGATCAACATGATAGCTAACAGAACCATAGAGGTAAAAAGTACCATATGAGCGCCGTCTGGTAACGCCAAGAAGGGGAGAATTTTAGACACTTCTTCGTCTTCAAATATATCCCCTTTGTAGAACTCTATCTTTGGTCCCACCTGATATCTGATCTATGAATGCTGCTCTTCGGATAACGTAACGAACGTACCAAATGATTGAAGTCTATTAACGCGACACCCAAAACCAGGGGGCCATCAGGGGGCTGTAGTAGCATAGACTCTGGTCGCGCCTTTTTCGAGTAAGACGAAGCAGCCGAAGAGAAAGACCCTGCATCGTTCGAATTCGAGGACAACCTGGGTGGATACGTAGGAAGCGTGGTGGTTTTCGGTTCCTCCAATACGGACGGGGCAGCAGAAGTAATCGAGCTCTCTCTCCGGGCGTCAAGTTCGCTGGCCATTTCGCTGGTGTATTCGCTTACATCGTCTGTCTCTGAATTGAAGTCAATTTCTATGGAATCTTCTCGAGAATTTGAGAGTGCCTCATGGGCACGTAATGGCGAAAGATTGATGACAGCTGAACGAGGAGAACCTGCGGGAGATGAAAGAGAAATTGAGAGCTGTGAAGCAGTATCGGCATCGTCGTTGTCGTTCTCGCGGTCGTCGTCATGGTCGTCGTCGTGGTCTGGAACCAAGAAGTGGGAGTTATGGTTTTCCAGGGGAACGGAGTCTAGCAGCGACATGTTTGATTCAAGCCAGCCTTTTCAGAGATCTTTTGGTTCCTGCCACAGAGACGGGAACGTCCTTGGGAATCTCGCGAGCAAATCCGGGCTAGGGTGTGTGTTCCGCGATAAGCACGTGGTCTGGCGCTTTTCCCCTTGCCTACTCCATTCGAATGCGAATCACACAACGGCTGCACTGCCGTTCGTGAGCCTGCGAGCATTCGCAAGGCTATTCGCAAGGGAACCATCCCTCTTTTCCTTGTCCCATAGACACAATGGCATTATCACTCTTCACCACGCTCTTATCCATCAGCTCTGCCCTCGCCGTTCCCACCATCACCGTGACCGACCAGGTCGTGCTCGGTGGCTCAGTTCTCGACGTACCCAAGCCAGAAATAGGATGGGCCGACCCAAGACTCAATGGCGGGCAGTTTCTTGACGTGTGCTTTCAATGCTTCCAGTTGTTGGCATTGGAATCTCACTATCTTTCTAGTTTACGACTCCAAGATTCGGAGAACCATTAAACGTTATCATTTCCAACTTGTCCGACCCTTACATCCTCACTGATAGCGGCTTCCGCGCTTACTACAAGTGAGCCTTCCCTACGCGATCTCTGAAGGTCCTTTTGAACTCTGAGTCTTAAATAGATCCATTGGGTTCTCTGAGGAATGTCTAGGTCTCCACTACGGTCATGTCCACAAAGCAGACCTCGGAGATGGAGATGGTCGCAAATCTGAGCACATACTTGCACGCCAGTATTACTTTCCTATCTGGGGCACATGTTGGGAAAGCTTTGCAGGTTCGTACTCTATGCTCTTCCTTGTTTGCGTGTTTGTTGAGATAGCGACAATAGGAGGTAATCACTTTCGAGCGTGGAAGCAGAATGGCACGGATGCTGATACAGGAGCCTGGTTCTTAGCGTGAGTCGCTCCATGTTTAGTAACCTACGACTGACTGATATTGTTATATCCTGCAGAGTATCCAAAGAAGAAGCAAGTGCTACAGCATCCTCAGATACTGCCTACTAACCTTACCATTTATTTAGCATTCAGCGAAGAATCATATGATAATACCAGATGGCTACAATATTGGGCGCGACTTGCTCGTTGACAATGCTGTTTCTGGAGGTTTTTGGAATAGCATGTGGTGGAAGGCAGAGGTGGAGTGGAGGGAAGGCCTCCTTGAGCCCGGATGGAAAGGTGAGGCATATTTCATCAAGGTAGTAGCTGCACCTAACATAATTTCCTAGGTGTTAACCATGCTATCGCCCAAGACGGTCGCATCGCGATTTTGACAGTCAAACGACTATAATTTGTTCACTAGAAAGGACTTCTTTGTTGTGCATTAGACTAATGAAATCTGTAGAGCAGTCATTACTTTTGTGACGACTATACCACACGCCAATCTTGGACATCGGACATGTTGATATTCTATGCTGTGCTTCTTACTTCACTTGTATTCGATCCAGACGGACCTGTAGTATTGACATATATATTGTTTTATCTATGCGGAAAATTCTGATTATTCGTCACAACAATGGTTATACATTCAGATGATAAAAGTGCATGATGATAACAGAGAAACCAAGACTGACGTACACAGATGGGGCAGGCATAATAGTGGTTACAGAGATGTTAATCTAAAGTGACAAACCAAACGATCAAACGATAAATCAGCCAGAGCACATTACGCAGGCATCCTTGTTCTCCAGCGAACACAAAAGTTTAGCCTCTTCCAGTTCACGTTCATGTTGCCGTTGCAGCGCAGCCGCAAAATCGGGATCTTTTTCTGCAGCTTGTCGTGTCTTCTCATCCAAAGTGGACAAAAAAGAAACGGGATCCGCATTCGAGACCGAAGTGCTAGATGTGGTGTCGACAGGCGAGGGAGAGGAGCTTGTCTGCGACAATGGGGTAGAGAGTGATGATGAAAGAGTCGACGCGGGTATAGGTATCACCGGCTGAGCGACACTTCGTACAGGTGATGCCGAGGCAGAAGAGGAAGGAGTGGGAAGGCCGTTGACACGTCCAACGCGGCTGGCGGCACCATTCTGCTTGTTCTTTTGGGCATCTTTGATAAAGCTCTGGTCGACCGTGAACTGGATAGCCTGAGCAGCAGGGCGTGTTCGCATATAATACATGCCCGTTTTCAGACCCTTTTTCCACCCGTAGAAGTGCATACTAGTGAGCTGCCCGAGTGTTGGCGACTGTAAGTGGATGTTCAAGCTCTGACTTTGGCAAATAAAGGCTCCACGGTCAGCAGCGAGGTCGATAACTTTCTTCTGGCTGATCTCCCAGACAGTCTTGTAGATAGCCTTAACGTCTTCAGGAATGCCAATGATACTTTGGATAGATCCGTTGTTAGCAATGATCATATTTTTCATTTGGTCATTCCAGAGACCAAGGTCCACTAATTCTCTGAGTAACCACGGGCAAACAATCTGGAATTCACCCGCGAGCACGCGACGGGTATAGATGTTGCTAACATATAATGTCAATAACCAATACAACCTCTATGTCATGAAACTCACCTAGTGTATGGCTCGAAGCACTCGTTGAAGCCGAGGATTTGACTAGTCGAGGCTGTGGGCATAGGAGCCAGAAGCAACGAGTTCCGTAGACCAGTACGAGCAATCCTTTCTTTCAAGGATGTCCAATCCCACAAATCCGTTGGAGTAACTCCCCATAGGTCGAACTGCAACTGGCCCTGCTCTGCCGGGCTGCCTTTCCATGTTTCATACGGGCCCTCCTTCTCCGCCAACTCACTACTGGATTCTAGAGCAGCGTGGTAAATGGTTTCGAATATCTGAATGTTGAGCTCCTTTGCTTCGGGAGAATCAAACGGCATGCGAAGTGCCATAAACGCATCTGCCAGGCCCTGCACACCAACTCCAATGGGACGATGACGCATGTTTGATCTACGAGCCTCAGGAGTTGGGTAGTAGTTGACGTCAATAATACGATTCAAGTTTTTGGTAATGACTTTGGCGACGTCGTGTAACTTCTGGAAATCATACTTGCCATTCACAATAAATGAAGGAAGAGCCATAGAAGCGAGATTGCAGACTGCAGTCTCGTCAGGAGATGAGTATTCGATGATCTCAGTGCAGAGGTTAGACGACTTGATAGTTCCCAGATTCTTCTGGTTGGACTTGCCTATCAAAGCAACATAGTTGAGTTAAGTCCAGCGCAAACATATATGCGAAGTATAAAAACTTACGGTTAGCAGCATCCTTGTAACACATGAAAGGACCACCGGTTTCAATCTGGGCTTCTAATATGGCGTACCATAACTTCTGGGCCGGTATAGTTCGTCTAGAACGACCCTCCTTTTCGTACTTTTCATATAAGGCCTCAAACTCTTCTCCGTAAACCTCGTGCAAATTGGGGGCCTCGTTAGGACAAAACAATGACCACTCTCCGTTAGCTTCAACACGTTTCATGCTTTAATGAAGATAGTTAGCACAAGTGTATTGGATAGTAGAGGAGCCACGTACAATAAATCAGGAATCCAAAGGGCATAGAACAAGTCTCGGGCACGGGACTCTTCTTTACCGTGATTTTTTCGAAGATCGATGAAGTCAAAAATATCGTTGTGCCAGGGCTCAAGGTATATAGCAAACGCGCCAGGACGCTTATTGCCACCCTGGTCAACGTAACGAGCAGTAGCATCGTAAGCACGAAGCATGGGAACAATACCGTTCGAATATCCATTCGTCCCAGCGATGTAAGAACTAGTGAGCAATGAGCGAAATGAAAATGATGATAGGTTATGTGATCATCCCGAACTTACCCTGTAGCACGGATACAATGGATATTCAACCCAATACCACCAGCAGTCTTGCTAATCATGGCACAATTTTTCAACGTGTCATAAATACCTTCAATAGAATCGTCTTTCATACAAACTAAGAAGCACGAGCTGAGCTGTGGATGGGGCGTGCCGGCATTGAACAATGTTGGGGATGCATGCGTAAAGTATCGCTCTGACATAAGATGATATGTCTCTAGGACACGATCTATGTCCGAGCCATGAATGCCAACCGCAACTCGCATGATCATGTGCTGAGGGCGTTCGGCGACACGGTTGTTGATTCTCAAAAGATAAGATCGTTCGAGAGTTTTGAATCCAAAGCTACATAATCCCGTACGTTAGCTATGACGAGAGAAACGATCTGAGACTAACATACAAGTTATAGTGGAAATCACGATCATAGATAATAGCCGAGTCCAACGTTTCCGCGTGAGCTTGGACAACTTCGTACGTCTCTTTAGAGATCATACTGGCAGCTCTGCCATTCTTGGGGTTAACTGCACAGCATATTATGTCAGAGCTTCGAGTAAGAAAGACCAAGATAGCGCACTATATTCATAGAGATCTTTCACTACCTGGGAGAAATTTTTCTTGGTCTCCTTGTGAAGGTTCGAGATGGCGATACGTGCTGCAAGAATAGCATAGTCGGGATGCTTGGTGGTAAGGTAGGCAGCAGTCTCAGCTGCGAGGTTCTGGATAACGTTTGGTTTAATGCAAAATGTGCAGATTGAAAGAGCATACATCAAGTTCTACTGTCGTCACTCCCTGATAGACACCAGCGATAACCTTTTGCGTGATCCTGACTCGATAGATCAGACATTTAGTCGCCTATTGAAGAAAGCAGACCGACTCAATAGGGTCGACGTAGTCAACATCGAGGCCGTAGCAAAGTTTGTTTATCCTAGCAGTAATCTACGGAAGATGAGCTTGGCTACACTTAGATCGATACACGTTTTGACGCGTACCTTATCGAACTGAACGCGTTCCTTACGCCTGATGGCCATGATATATCAAATTAATAACAAGGTGCTATTATATTCAGTGAGGGTAGCTTACCCATCTATCGTATGCAAAAGTCGCGATCAGCACAATAAGCACAGTACTACACGAAAGATCCAAGACGAACCTCTTTTGAATACAAAGGCCATCTGGTATGCGGTTAATTAGACGATGGCAGGCACAATAGCCGTTGTACAGGGTAGCGAGAATGGGGGAAGGTGGTGAGCGAGGTGAAGGAGAGAATCAACGCGTCGCGCAACTTTTTAAATGAAGTTCGCATTACTAAGCGAGTGGCACGTTCAGGGGTTTCAGAATTATGTTGCAAGGTAAAACAGCCAATTTATGCTTAATAATACCCATATTTTAGTATACTTTAGTACATATCAGGAGTTTTAGGACCAGACATCATAGTTTTTATATACAAACTGGGTATTTTAACAGTTTCTACTAAGCCTTATTCGGAAATCGAGGCCTAGGTTAGGGTCACAACGCGGTAATCAACAAGAATAATTGACGCGTTGTTTTCGTTTGTTGTAGGCGCGTCATCTTTCCCATCCCCCAACACGCTGGCGGTGTCTGCCTCGAGGCGTTCATTTCCTTTCTTGTTTCCAACTTATTTTATCTTTATTTCGTTTACTTATCTTTCGTCTTCGTTCTATATCTGACTGAGATTGCTTCTGTCCCTTTCTATCATGCCTCATGCCCAGCAAATCCACACAGGCGATCCCGCATATGCATCTCCCGTCATCCGTGCCCCCTCTCCTGCGAGCTCGGTCGGAACGGCATATGGACCTGACGAGACGTCTCTTTCGGATATGGAATTAAGTCAGGATGCTTTTGAGAAGAAGTGTCTGGAGGCTTTGAAGCTTGACTGGCAAAAAGAGGAGGAGATAAGGGCCGATCGCACTCCTTTAATCCAAAAACCAAAGACACAAGCAGAAGAGATAAGTGTGTATCCTTTTTCACCATTTTCTGGGCACGGTTGTTGACAGTATACGCAGTATTATACGAAAATATCGTACGAAACCTTCGTCGGCGTGTCCAGCAACTCGAGGACGACGAGCTCTTTGAACAGACCCTTTTACGAGGCTCGCAGGTTGCCTTAGAGCAACAACCCTCTTCAAATGACATGGACGCTTTGATGAAAAGCCTAATGACTACCACACTTAGTAATGGATCTAATACAGCCCCTAATATTTCAAATGGGCCGTGGAATAGTGGCCCACGGTATAATAACGAAGGTATGAGCAGAATGACAGCTGGGAAGCAAAACGGAAAAGGGAAAGGCAGAAGTTTTAAACCATAAGCATACAAGTGTAAACCACTATACTACACAGCGATCCAGAGGGTATGAATTGATGCAGCGTTGATAGCACGTGAAATGTCGAGGGAACGTAAGTAAAGAGGAGGCTTATATTACAGTGCGATTTAGCCTTAATAATCGCCAGATTCAGAGAAATAGTCAGGCAGCGCTTCTTGGATCTGTTTGATCTTATCATGAATCGAACGCCTGGCTGACATTCGGCAGTCGTGATGCATATAAGTGGCCGAACCCCATCTATCAAACTCCTTCGCCATGGCCTTCAGTCGCCCCAGCACGTCTGCGATCGCGAGCGAATGTACACTCTCAATTCGGGTCTTCTCCTTCCAGAACTCCGTCCAACTCTGTGTACAACCATTCTGGTGCCAAGTAGCCCCACAAGAAGGGGCGTGTTCAAAGTGTGGGGGCACAACGCGCAACCGTTCCCAAGCCGTAGAAAGACGGTAATGGCCAGAGAGTAAGCGAAGTTGTTGTGTTGGAGTAACAACGAGGCGATCCTGGTCACCGCTAATCGAGGTCTGCTGCGTCTCGTTGTCAGCATTGGAATTGCAGGTGAACTTGGCTTTCTCCATCACTTCTAGATAGGCTGCGCCGCGAAGGCTCCTGAGATTGAGCTCGTCAGCAATTGTCATTGCAAGATATGCGTATTGAAGAGACGACGACATGAGTTGTTGGAGTAAAGAGACCATAGTCTCTAGTAACTTGGCATGGTTACACATTTGAGCAAGACGGACCAGCCGCGTTAACTGCTCAGTGCCCTCGCAGGCTGATATAGATGTGTTTGCAGAATGCATATGGGATGCAGGGATGGACGTGAGGATAGGTGAAGGTTTTCGATTGACAAAATCATGGATTGCGTCGAGCGCCCATGTTTCTGTCGACTTGAATGAATATTTATTTGCGACTCGAGCGATATCAATAAGTTGTGTGAGGTTAGCTTGAGGGGAACGTGTAGACATCAGCTCGTGTGGCCTATTAGCGTATTAGTCAAATTGAGTTTTACGTGCGCTGACAGGGTAAAAAAAAACGCACAAGGCATAAAGAGACCATAGAAAATTCCTGAATTCTTCTGCTGTATCACCCTGAAGGACGATAGGATTGTCGTCGGAAGTGCCTTCTTCTTGCTTATCTCCTTGCGGTAGGCTAAACATAGAACCAAACGAAGAGGTATCTACGGACAAAATTGTGCGGTGTACCTGAACCATACGAGGCGCAGTCAGAAGAAACCATAAACAGCCGGCGTAGCGAACATACATTGAAGAGTGTGTTTTCAATACGAATAATGCAGCTTCCATCAGAAAAGTAATACTTGGGATCTCTCTTCAAGAGTGTATGTTGTGTTATTGGTGTAGACGATGACTCTGGGCGATTAGTTATTGAGCTTGAACTACGATGTCGAGCCCGCTTTCTCAACGGTGACTCTGACCTACGAGAGGGTAAGAGGATCTCATCCAGAATGGGAGGGAAGTCCAAATCGTCATCCGAGAGAGTTGGAGAAGGTATAACTGTAACTTCAGCCATATGTTATGGAATTTTGGCTTTTTTCCCAAGACCAAGTCAGTGACAAGGTTTCTAATGGTGGTAAGTGAAAGAGCCGAGGTTTATTAAGAAAGGCATGGGAACAGACCTTAAGGCAAGGTTAGGTCTTAGATAAGATAAGATTGTACCCACGCTCTATGGAAGGATTTCGGTCTTGCCGAGACTGGCGTGTGCAGGAACTCCTTTCTGATACTTATCCTTGCGCTTTGTTTATGGTTTACCCGTCGCAAGATTAAGAATAGGCTGGGATATATGTGGGATTCTCTCGAACTTCATTTTGAATCTTCCATCCAAACCATTCCTCCTTTTTCTACTAGCAAACCGGCGACATGCATTTCCAGTCAGTGCGGTTGAACGATGGCAGCCTGGTGAGCACGATGTATTCTTACTCTGGTTGCTTGCTAGCTATTTTAGAGCATAAATATATTCATTTTCGCTCTATAATAGCTACCCACGATAGCCTTTGGTACAGGCTCGTCAATGAAATATGAAGACGACGTCACCAAATATGTCCAACAAGCTATAGACGTCGGTTTTTGTCACATTGACACAGCAGCCAGTAAGTTCCTATTGAGAAAGTTCTCTAAATCACTTCTAACGATCACGGTTATCGTACAGTATACAAGACCGAAGAAAATGTTGGGATTGCGATAAGAGAAAGTGGACTCTCACGTTCCGACTTGTATATTACCACCAAATACGGCGGAGAGACGACCATTCAGGAGTCCTTTCAGAATAGCTTATCAAAGGTCAGCACTTGTCATATCTATATCCAGCGGTTCTATGGATTCAAGCGCATCAATATGTCTAGCTTGGTATCAAGCATGTTGACCTTTACCTCATTCATTTCCCTGAAGCTGTGAAGGACTTTGAGGCTGCTTGGCGAGAATTCGAAGGCTTCAAGAATAGTAGACTGGCAACGTGCGCACATTTTCTAGGGCTATCGTGTTGTTAGGTCAAGTGACCAGTCGCTATAGGAGCATTGGCGTGAGCAACTTCAATCTCGAACAACTACAAACCGTCTATAAAACTGCATCCATAAAGCCTGCTGTTAACCAAGTATACTCCTAATTTCTAGCATTTCACCTTTCTAGTGCATTTATTTACCAAGGCCTACAGATCGAGTTTCACCCTTACAACTATACGTCGCATAAAAGCCTCCTAGATTTTTGCGCTCAACATGGTATCATCGTTGAAGCTTACAGCAGCCTTACGTAGGTTCTTTTGTAATCACTGCCAACCCTTGACTGACAGTAATATCCAAGTCCAATCACCAAATATTCTGGTGGTCCTGTTGATGCTCCCCTGAAAGCAGCCGCTTCTCGCCTTGGGATTACACCGACTCAAGTAATCTTCTTATGGGTGAGGAGCAAAGGTGTAGTCGTAGTAACGTGAGTTTTTCTGCACTTTTTACTGTCTTTGCCTTATATATTGCCTTACAGAACGAGCAGAAGTAAAGATCGACTTCAAGAGTATTTGGCGATAGAAGACCTAGGTATGACATTCTATCAAATCCTTAGCAGTGTTTAACTGACCTTTGGTTCTAGCACCTTTGACTGACGAAGAAATCGCGGCTATCGACAAAGCAGGGGCCAATGGACCTCCTTCATTCTTCCGGAGAAGGTACAAGACTGTGTTATCACTTGCCGCTTTCCTACTGTGGGGCTTGGTCAAGCTTTCAATCGTGTTCTTCATCTTCAGACGAGTAGCTGGCTGAGGCTCAGCTTCAAGTTTACATCATCTTTACATATCTCATAGACCGCTGATTCTATTATAAGAATATCCATGTCAGCTATCATCATTCAATACACTATTGAAGGTGAACAGTGTATTTGCTATACGTACTTACTGTGACGGTATTTCTTGTCTTCTGAGGCTCGGGTAACTTAGAGTTTCAGGGTTTAGTATAGAATAAAGCTCCACCTCGGTTTCTATAACATGTAAAATTGAATGAATCCAGTCCTTCATCAGAGCCCATCATGACCGTGACCATGATCATGATAGTATGAATCCTTCGCTCGTTTGCTTGTTTCAAAATCTACGCTGCTATATTATCGAATTCCTCTGAACGTATAAGCGGGCATCACACTGTGCCTCTGTCAACCTTTCTGACCCTGTAAAACGGACCGGTATATCCAATTCTCGCTATCGTAGTAGCGTCTAACTGCCAGGTACTCGCTTCAACTTTGTCTCATTCGTCTTGAGTTAGCTGCTATCAACCACCATGCAACGACCAGATGAAATTCTAACTTTTCCTTACAAGCACGTCGATGGAAATCCTGTTCTTTTGGATGTTTACTTGCCCACTTCGCCCCCACTTCATTTGTTGTCCTCGAAGGAAAAGCCACGAGAGCACCATACTATCTCGGTTCCTGCAGTGGTGTATTTCCACGGAGGAGGCCTGACAGTAGGCAATAGACGAAGCTGGTTTCCAGCTTGGATGCAAAGTTAGTCTCTTGTCTTGCTAGGGCATTTCCCTTCTACGTTGGACATCACCAGTCCAAGTTCGCAGCCGATCTTTTGTTTTCTTCTACTTACTACCCACAATGAAACTGACGTCTTTATATCACAAGAACGCATCTCGGGATTGGGATACATATTCATCTGTGCAGATTACAGGCTTATGCCTCCTGCGACGGGCCATGCCATCCTCGCTGATATCAAGGATGTCTTTAAATTCGTTTCAGAAGACCTGAACCGTCATCTGGAAAAGCGCCAGGGTGCGATTCGGGTCAACGGCGATGCTACCATGCTAGAAAATAGTGGGGCTGACACCACGACCTTAAATCATGTACCCACTTTCCATGTCGACTCTGGCGCTCTTGCCGTTGCTGGGACCAGTGCGGGAGGTTTGTGTGCTTATCTCGCTGCTGTGCATGCTTCACCCAAGCCCAAAGCAGTGGCCTCCTTGTACGCTATGGGTGGTAAATTTCTGGTACTTCTATGATCACTCCTATCCGCTTGCTATCACTGACCCGTTTATCCAGACTGCTCATTATCTTACGCCGAAAACGAAGCCATTCTTACGCGGAAGGGAAATCCTAGACCCCAATTTATTCTCTCAATATCTCTACCCTTTCAACGGCTTACTACCAACTTCGGACTCTCCGCTGTCATACCATCCACCTACCTCTCCGACCCCTGGGTACCCTGCCAATGATCGAATGCTGATCGGACGATTGCAACTTCAGCTGGGCGTGGTGCTGGATTATTATACAGGAGAACATGAGCCAAGTCTTAGCGCATTCCTCAGGGAACGTTTGGCCTCACTATTAGATAATTCTACTCCACCAGCCCAAAGTGATGATCTACAATCCCTCATTCCAGCGAAACACATAGAAATATTCCCCGAGTTCAACGTTAGTTCTGATTGGCCTCCGACATGCCTGGTCCATGGTACAAAAGATACAGCTGTTCCGCCGCAAGAATCTTTGCATATGTACGGCTTGCTGAAAAAGGCCGGTGTCGAAGTGACGATGATGAATGTCGAGGGGAAAGAGCACTCTTTTGATTACGAGCCAAATGCGGACGTGATCCATGAACGCGAATTTGATATGATTGTGGAATTTTTACATAGACAGCTGGACAAAGGCCGCGAAATCGTCGTATAACTGAATGGAGGGACACTGGGACAATTATGTGTTTGGGACAATTACTTATTTACTTATGGTTATCTGTACCATGGACATGATGGACATATAGATTGATATGATAGGGCAATCATCGATAGGGTTAGAAAGTTTTATCTGCTTGACAGAATTCTTAGGAGTAGCGCTGTACACCACAATTTTGCCATCATCCATTGGTTCGTCGCGAATGAAAGTAAAACATCATGTGGGGTGTCTCCCGAGTGCCTTTGCGAGGCATTTCATAGAGTTCATTCACCCGTTAACCGGCTGATCTGCAATAAGACCAGTTCCAGAGCCTACCTACATGAGATGTCTTTGCTTTCAGGTGTCTGTAAGGTTTGGTGATACCTTGAATGCGCGAATGGCACCAAATGACGGTATCCACATGCAATTCCTTCGATGGTATACATATCATGCAGTAAACGGGTATACCACTAGGCCTAGATTGCAGCTGTCAGAATGGGTGACACAGAGGCAGTGGTAGTGAGACTAAATAATATACCTAGAGCAGTAAACTATGCCTGAAAAAGGGGCCCGACCAAAGGCAGTAAAGATGATGCATGGCTTTGTGAAGCATAGAGTGAGTCATTTAGATATGCGTCCAGAAATGTTTCAAAGGTGTTAGGGGATCCCCTGGCGACAGTTTCCATAAAAAAAAAGCTTCAACCAGAGCCTGAGAACAACGATCATGTCATTACATATAGCTCGTACATAAGGAGGGCCATGCGCCAAATCCACTATCCACAGGTGCGAGAGAAAATTCGATTCTGGAACAAGTATCCTCTAAAGCGCGAGCTTCAGGAAATGTTGATAAAAATAAGGAGGTAAGGAGAAAGCGGATAGCAAGTTCTATCGTTTCAGCAAACTGTATGATGTGTGTAAAAAGTCAACATGGCATAGTTGTAAATTTCCAGTACTTCGTTGAATCTCCGCGATACCGTGACGCGCCCGTGTCACGTGACTTTATCTTTCTTACCTCGTCTGCGACACTGGCAAAGAGGACCCTTGTTGTCCAGCGATGGCTACGAATGCTCTCCGCGCTCAGGTAGCTGCAAAATGGCAGGAATCATTTGGAAGATTGAACCACGGAGAACCTGGTATATCTGGTCTTATAGCCCTCAGCGAGGTATGAATCTGCATACTTGATATCTTGCCATGCATTCATTATGAAACTGACATGTACTATGCTGAAGGCATGGAATCTTGCTACAGACGTTCTGCGCCCATATAATATCAACAGCATGTCTCCTCCTCCCGTTTACAGTATGCCATCTCTCAATATCTGTAGGTTGACCAGTGCAGTTGACTTAACGAGAGCACAGGCATGGATAAGGTCAGGGCTGCGTTTGAATTAATTAATACTTGTAGGAGGCTGCCCGTGCTTTTAGAGGCTTTCGTTGGTACCTTATCCTTCTACATCACTAGGAGCTGCCTTACTGAGCGTATCGTCAAAGATGACCTGCACAAGCATCAATCTTGGATAACAGATGATGTGAAAGAACACATGGCACAGTATGAGGTATTTGACTTACATCTCGAGGATGCCTGTGCTTCGTCCCTTAGGATACATTACGATTTCAGGAAACATCCGATCCAGATATCATACAGAAACTAGTATACCGCCTCGCTGAATGGTATAAGGCGTGGGCACCCATGCCAGAGTAAGTGAATCTACAGTGATATAATCTTATGCAATCTCTCATGTAATACCTATTTACAGACTAGGTCACATCGTCACGTCCACTTACATCCTCACTTTTCAGACTCACATCTTTTCCATCCTCCCACCTTCTTTTGCCAAGGGAATCAAATCTCTCGTTGCTGCCACTCTGGAGCACACCTCTTCCGAGCCTTCATCTCATCTCCACCCTTCTATTTGGCCTGCGTTTGAGACTCTCGGTCTCATTGAACGATATGAAAACCTTATTGCGAGTGTTGGCTATGAGCACATCGAATCGTACGTACTCGACACATGCACGGAGAAATGGGACGAGCCCATGTTAGGCGATCTTCGAGACTGGATGGCGGACAGAATAGTACCCTGGATGATTATGCCTTATGCTCGAGGTGCCACCTCTGGTAATTATTGACTCTCTTTCAGGTGATACATTTGTCTAACACTTCATTTAGCCGACGAAGCTCGATCCATGATGCAAGGCGTGGGCTCAAGATTCGATTTCCATATGCATAAGACGCTATGTGATTTACGGTTTGTACCTCTTCTCCTTTCACCATGGGTTTACGTGTCAACATTTCGCTAGCACAAAGGAAATTTTTGATATCATAGTTGACCACCCTGATTCTGCTGGAGCATTGCAAGATCTCAAGGTACGTAGGCCTTTTGATATGCTTCCGAATCCTGACGACGTCAAATTGATTTCACAGGAATGTCTTCAAAGGGTGGATCAGCGTGCTGAGCTAGTTCAGTCCCTTCGATCCGCGTAATGCTACAATCTGTACCATTGCTCACTACGCTGCTGACCATATGCACTCTAGAAACCAAAGACGTTTGCTGCATCCAGGAGCTGACACAAAAGATATCCTTGCGCAATATGTCTCCACGATAAGATGCTTAAGAGTCATAGACCCACCTGGTGTTTTGTTATTTAAAGTCGCGGATCCGATCAGGAAATATCTGCGGTCAGTTTACCTGCTCAAGCACTTGTGAACTGACTCAATGAGTATCTGTAGCGATCGACCAGATACAATAAGATGTATCGTGGCAAGCCTAGTTGGAGATGAAGAGAGTGGAGACTCACTTGTCGATGATAACGAGCCTATCCAGCCGCTGCAGCAGCCGGAAGTAGAGGATTATACCGACCCAGAGTGGAACCCAGAGCCTGTCGATGCTGGACCAGGTTCGTATCACATTTTAAGCTAGGCAGTGTCAAACCAATCCATATCACGCCCTTAGAATTTCGTGCTAACAAAACGAGCGATATTATCAGTACTCTTGTCAGCATCTACGATTCCAAGGATCTATTCATCAAGGAACTGCAGGTATTACTTGCTCAACGTTTGCTTATCATTAAAGACGGGAATTACGACAAGGAGGCAAGTGGCATTTGGAGCAACATTATTCCCCTATCATCTGACAAATATTCAAGCGTCGTAATATTGAAATCTTGAAAATTCGTTTCGGTGAAGCAGCGCTACAAGTATGTGAGGTCATGTTGAGGGATATGACGGACTCTCGGAGAATAGACCAACACGTTCAATCGCAGAAGACTGTAAGTTGATCGTAACTTTGTTGTTTATTAAGATGATATGCATCTCTTCCCACAGAGCTGTGTGCACCCCACAATAATCTCTCAGCACTTCTGGCCCACCCTTGAATCGAGTGATATTTCCATGCCTGGTCAACTCAAAGAGTAAGCAGGACCATTGTACTCATTCCATCTCTTATCTAAGCTGAACATACAGACTACAAGAGAATTATGCTAAGGAGTTCTCGACGTTCAAACCTGACAAAAGGCTCCGGTGGCTATCTCATCTCGGTCGAGTTCATCTGGAACTTGAGTTGGAAGACCGAAAGGTAGAAGCCGACGTAACGCCTCTAGAGGCTGCCTTCATCGAGCTATTTTCAGAAAAAGGTCTGTTTTAGTTGACCTAGTTCTCTCATTACGTGCTGACCATTGGTTCAGATGTCTGGACCTTGGACGAGCTCATTTCTCGTGTTGGGCCAATAAACCGAAATATGGCATCAAAAGCACTTGCAACGTGGGTTGACATGGGTGTTTTAAAAGAGGACGAAGAGAATATCTTTAGGCTCTTAGAGATAGCTGAAGAGCCTACCTCTGGTTCACAAGCCCCTATAATAAGAACAGGTTGGTCAAACTACTTTATAATATAGGTCTATCAAAATTGATCACCCTTCTAATAGCTCCACCAGTTGAGGAGCTTCCTCCTGTGATGAGTGTACAACAACAGCAAGCAGAACAAATGAAAGTGTATTGGAAGGTCCGAACTCTGTTCATCTCCGTATCTCCATCTAGCTAACAAAAAATGCAGTTCATTGAAGGGATGCTTACAAACCTCGGTTCACTCAGTTTGGATCGAATACAAACCATGCTCAAATTTGCGCCTGGTTATGATCGAACAATTGATCAGCTGGGGAGCTTTATGGAGGGTGCTAAAAGAGAGGGTTTAGTAACGTTCAAAGATGGAATGTGGAAGCTCGGTCGATGAAAAAATATAACTGTATTCTAGGGCAATTGATTCAGAACATTCTGAGATCCAAGTATTCCAGTAAGTGCAAGCCATATGCTGAGTTCTTTCACCATCAGCACGACTATCGGTACGTGGCATAGTTTTTCAGTTTATGCGTTACGAACACAGCTAGGTCCTGCCATTAACCTATTGTCAGCGACTTATACCGCCCCTATATCAGAATACACTGTGGCAGATTGGTCACATCAGATTGTTTTACATGTCGAGGTGGCTGGCTAGAACTAACGTGAAGGACCATACCGGCACAGTTACATGCCTTCGTTAGGGGAAGACTCCCTCGACACCATGCGTTTGGGTGTGATTAGACATCATACAGGTGAGTACAAAGTTGCCCACGAGACTGAAAACTGACTTACTACAAAGGTTTGGAGAGCTCTGGAATTACCTATGCCGTCCAAACCCCCATCTATCACATAGCTTATAACGCATCACTCAACCGTTCACCCATCCACCGCAACTCACTCCAGAGCTTGTCCACTACCATCAGCTCTAACTCTACCCTCACCTGGTGTTTGCTCGTCGTTACCCATCGCTCGTTATATTGAACGAAAGGTACCGACGACTGTGGCAATCGCTGAAGGTAATATGTGGGTGGGGAAAGCGAATGAATATTAATCTCTTTCCCTAGTCCTCTGTCAATTAATTACATGCTTCCCCTCCATGATCGTACGTGATGATCCTTTACATTATTCGCTTCGTTACCTGAATTATGTTATACTGATTCCATAGACCTTGTCATGGCTTAACCTCCGCTCAAGCGCTCCACCATGTCGTAGTGGTCATTTTATAGTAAGGAACGATTAGTGGTAACCCATTTCCTTTTGCATTCTCCACGAGTTAAAATAACATAAAGCGGTTCTGCGAATGGCTCAGAGTAGGGCACGTTTTGATTCTTCTATTCGTCTGTTGACGTGGTTGAAGCGACGTCAGACCCCAAGGGGACCGACTGACTTATGGTCTAACTGTGTAGTCCCACCTTCAATCACGTTCGGTGCATATACTGGCAACATCAACGCAGCAGCTCCTAGTAACGACACCCTTCCGCAATGGAACGTACAGTTGAGTAGCTACCTCCTTGAACAGAGGCTCCGTGATACCTAGATAGGGATTTCCCGAGCTGCCTCGAGGAGACGCAACACAAAGGAACACACTGATACGCGATAGAACGTGAGTCATACATCGACGTCCATTTTCCGGGACACTTTGTCCTCGTATTAAGGAGAAGCATTACCACGTCCTGATGGGGAAAGTATTGTGACCTGACCGTGTCTTCTTTTCCTTCTGAGGTCAGGGGGACTCGGAACCTGATTGACGCCCTCGATAACACAAAGCTATATCAACCGCCAAGGCAAGTTTGGTCGACTGAATTCTGCGTTCCCTCCACTCAGATATTATTCGCGTGCAATCATGGCTCCTAAAAGGCTTCTGATCTTTTGCGATGGTACTGGCATGGATGGCAATCTTAGTGGTGAATTATCATCCTGTTTCCCATGGCCCATGATGTCTTGATGATTTTTTATAACAGAATCCAAATCCATGGCGCAAGCCAAAGCCGATGATGCAAACACCTTACTTGATGAAAAAGGTGAGGAATCGGGTCTTCTTTCTCTAACTGATAGCTGATATAAAGACTATCACAGAACCTGGTAAGAGAAGGTTACTTAGATGACATGATGTGAATTGAATATTTTTTTCAGGCGCTCCAAGAGGTGGTAGCTCTGATCCTCAAAATGCTTCAAATGTGTTGCGCCTTTGTTAGTATTACTGATTATTGTGACCTGGTGATCAACCTACTAAAGAGTGTCAACCTCAATTAGCGCGGGCTGTCAAGCTGTATTCTTCGTACGTCAAGCGGCTGCTGTAGTGGAACTGTAGTGCTGATAACTCCTGCAGCGAACACAAACAACAAATTGTGTTCTATCAAAGCGGTGTTGGCTCTGAGGCAGGTTTTGATGGAGACCCCGTAATTGAATCCAAGATCACTCGTGCGTATATTTCAGTTTAGATCTAATCTCTCGGATGATCCCATCTATTTATACAGAGGCTACCGGCATAGCAGTCGGTGAGTCTTATTTTTGCTATCGGAACCTTGTGTATGGTGTACTAATTCGAAAACCATAGCAAGTAAGATCCGTGATGCATATGCATTTATCGCACAAAATTTTGAAGTCGAAGACGAGATATATATTTTTGGGTAAGCCAGAGTCGACTGTTGAAAAAGTAGTGACTCATGTTACCCGCAGATTTTCAAGGTGATGATGGCTCGAGACGTAACTATGGATCAGCATGCATTAAATTTTGAAATTCCAGGGGTGCTTACGCAGCACGAAAGCTTGCTGGTTTAATTGTCAGTTGCTGATAAATCAAGTTATGTATAGTGGGACTGATATTGTTTCAGGACCGTATTGGCCTTCTGGAAACAAAGCAGCTTGGTCATTTCTTTACAATCTGGCGCCAGCTTGTCGATCACAAAGATCCTATTATCCCCCCTGGCACAAGAACCACTAGGATCAGGTAATGGTTTATGAATTCTTCAATGTGGGATAACATGACCGAAGTTATCATACAGGTGTGTTGGCGTATGGGACACCGTCGGCTCTGTCCTAAACGAGATAAACGCTCTCAACATTGAGGACGGTAGCCTCCCAGCGTCAATCGATGTCGCATTGCATGCTGTCTCCATGCAAGAGAACCGACAAAAGTTCTTACCTACGTTATGGAAAGTTCCTAAAGCTGGACTGCGTCCTGGCCAGATCTTGAAAGAGGTACATTTTGATATTCTGTTATGTGTCTACTGCTGTGCCTTAACATCTTTTAGGTGTGGTTCCCAGGTGCCCATTCCGATGTTGGCGGAGGGTATAAGCCACATGAGCTCGCTGACATAGCTGTTTTCTGGATGGCGGTATGTAATGCCTCGAACCCTGGACTTGTCTACGATTGATATGGCTAACTGATACTCTACAGGGAGAAATCCAGTCTTTCGTAGACCTTGATCTTCCTTTCCTGCAGTCAAGCAAGCAACAAGATCCAGAACCATGGGGAAAATCGCAGCCTCATAACGCGTACGAAGAGACTCCTTGGGGTGAACAGTTTGTTATTGGACACGAGACTCGCCTTGAAAGTCAACAACTCGCAAAAGACTCGAAATACCATCAGAGCATTCAATATGGACCAAACAACCTTGTCAAACCGAAATATATGGTCACATTGGATGAACTTAAGAAGGCATTTGGACCCGATTTTCAACCAGATTATCCAGCTTTGAATGACTTCGAGCAAAAGGCCAAAAATGAATGGAGCAGGAAGGCTCGGATGGTATGGAGATTCCCTCCCCGCTTGCTCATGCCTACAAAATTAATCGCTGTCTACCTCTACAGCCTGATGGTAGCCCCCCAAACGATCAACAGCCAGTCTTTGAAAACCCTGGAGATTTGTTTGGATGAACTGATGCTGGTAATTAATTGACTTTTGTATTCGTACTTTCGATGTATTGGGGAACAAAGCTGAAAAGGAGCACCGTCAAATGTAAACAAACACGATTCTACTGTATGACAATGGATTGACAACGTTTTTGAGATTAAAGAATCATACTGCGTAAGACAAAATCAGAAATTCCGGATATACTGTCGTTAACCGTCAGCTCGGATGGGGGGGGGGGCTATTCGGACGTCACAGAGGTCACACAAGCCAAGTTAGAGCTCCGCTCGGCACTATCAGTGTTTGAACATGATTTTGAGGCACCTGAACTTTTTGAAACTGAGATTGCAGTACCTTAGTAGAGCGTTACTTTCTCGAAAGTCACACATGGAAGGAACTCGCTCAATAATTCAGGATTTTGTGCTAGGAAAGTTGGAGTAAGTAGTAAGAATATATAGAACTGCTATGGGTTGAGTTGTTGAGGAAAAATGACAGTGGAACATATGTTTTCAGAAATGTCCAAATAGCCCCCCCATCTGAACTGACAGTTAACGACAGTACCCGCTGACATTTTGCAAAAGTTCTTAACCATGTTCTCTGGCAGAAGTCTTGGTACTTCCCCGGGACGAAATGCCGCTGTTACTGGACCTGTTCCAGCAGAGGGAGCAACTTGGGCATGGAACTCTTGTATAAAAATGGCAAACATCACCGGATCACGAGTTACTGCAAACTACCTGCTTGCAATTGGGAAAGTTTCGCTAATGTTGATACGAAATAAGCAATTGCCAGCCAGTGAGCTTACAGTAAGTTGGCTCAATTATATCCCCTGCCACAGAAAGATTCTTCAACGTAATCTCATCGATGAAGAATGGGATGCAGAGGCCTACTAATAGTGCTATGCGATAGTTGGTTTGATCATACCCTGCCCGCCGCG